CATTCTACAAGTCACAAACTGGAAAGCTTACTGGCACAAGATGTTTTAAGTGCAATGTCTGACCAATCATTGTGCTAGTACTAAGCTATGCTAACCCAAGGCTGCCTTGTTGAGAGCAGGCTTAAAAATGAAAACAAATAGGATTTAAAAAAACATAAGTTTAAAAATACAATCGACAAACTGGGCGCTGGTGCCTCACGCCTGTAATCCTAGCTACTGAGGAGGCTAAGATCTGAGGATCATGGATCAAAACCAGCCTGGGCAGGAAAGTCCATGAAACTCTTATCTCCAATAAACCACCAGAAAACCAGAAATGGTGATGTGGCTCAAGTGGTAGAGTGCGAGCCTTGAGCTGAAGAGCACAGGGACAGCGCCCAAGCCCAGAGTTCAAGCCCCATGACCAAAACAAACAAACAAAAAAACAACCTACAGAATTAATCCAGGCAAAGCAATTGCAACCACTTTTGGGAGAATGGAATATTAGAATCAAGAGTGTCTATAATATCTGACCATAAATATCCAGTTTCAATAAAAATATGAAACATTCATGGAAATATGAAAATTACCCTGTACACAGGAAAAATATAGTTAATAGAGACTGTCCCTGCAAAGTTTGAGATATTAGATTTACCAAATACTTTACTATAAAACAAAAAGTACAATAATGGCTCGATTGTCAGATGTGAAGTGGCGGAAGAAGAAAGTAAATCAGCGAACTTGATGATAGATCACTAGAGGTAATCTCTTCTGAACTAGAAAAAGGAAAAGAATTGGAAAGTTACACATTTTATACAGGAGAAACTGATTGTTAAATTTTAGCTTGGTGCGAGTCGCTCACACCTGTAACCCTAGCTACTCAGGAGGCTGATATCTGAGGATCAGGGTTTAAGGCTAGCCTAGGCAGAAAAGTCTGTGAGACTCTTTATCTCTAATAAACCACCAGAACAAAGTGGCACTGTGACTCAAAGTGGTAGAAGTGAAAGAGCTCAGGGACAGTACCCAGGCCCCCAGTTCAAGCCCCACAACCACCATGAACAACAACAACAAACAAAAAAAACCCCAAACCTTTAGCAGATGTTAAAGGCAAAGCATCAGCCTAAATTTCTTTGAACTGCTATATAAGCTAAGGCTTATTGGTATAATGGAATTTAGTTTGCAAACCCAAACTTATGGCTCTTTAAGAAAGCCATGCTGGGCAAGGTCTCAGAGCTTGTTTCTACAAAGGTAACTGATGACTACTTATAAGGTTTCTTACTCTAAACAGCATCTGCACACTTGGCTGATCTGCTTCACTGTGACAGTGGTAGATTTTAACAAAATGCACAAGTCAGAGCCCTCTGGGGAATGCACTTTAAAAGGCTGTGACTTATCCCAATGCCCAGAACAGTTTTCCTCTCTCTGAATATTTGTAAGTGGGAGAGTAAAGCATGTACCCTTATGACTGCTACTTGAAGATATTCTATTAATTAGATTTTATAGTTATAGTCTCAATAAGTTAATTAAAATTATCATAGTCTAAAGGGCTAGAAAGGGCTAATTCATATTCTCAAGTTTCTCTTTCAAATTTCTAAAAATGGGATAATAGATAAAATATAATAAAAATAAATAGTACATGAAGCTATTCTAATAACTGGGGTTACAGTTTCTAAAAATCATTACGCTTACATATAAATACATTAAGCAATTATGCTTTTAAAAAAATTATGCTTGTTGCTGAGCACCAATGGGTGACACCTGTCATCCTAGCTACTCAGGAAGCTGAGATCTGAGGATTGCAGTTCAAAGCCATCCTAGGTAGGAAAGACTCTTATCTCCAGTTAACCACCAGAAAACCAAAAGTGGCGCTGTGGCTCCAAGTGGTAGAACACTAGCCTTGCATGAAAAAAGCTCAGGGCCCTGAGTTAAGCCCCACAACTAGCAGAAAAAAAAATATGCTTGTTAAAAATGCGTGCTAAACATTGGTAGTTCTGCTGCTATTCTTATTTAAAAGAGAGAAAAGTTAGATTGAAACATAGGAATATTTTGTGTTACTAAAATGTTCATTCAAGGCAACAAAACTTCCTGTTTTCCCATTTATCACCAGAAGTAACTAAGCATCTTTAGAGAAGTCAAAGTGCTGGTGTAGCTGGTTTATTTGGGGATCCGTTATTTTCCCATCGATTCAGCAGAAGTTCCAGCCATTGAGTGGGGTGGTTACAGTGGGTGCTAACATTCACTTGTCTTGCCAGAATTAGTCTGGGCTGGAAGATGAGAGATGGTAGTTTGACCTGTTTCCTGGGTAGGGAACGTCTGCTTAATCTAATGGACATGAAGACAGAGACAGAATCTCCCCTGGCCAGGTGGCACACTGAACCACATATCTCCAAGTCCTGCATATTCACTGCTTGTCTCCACTGCTTACCATAACCACAAGTGGGCCTCCCCACCAAAGCTCTACAAGCAGTAACCTGTTGGACATGATTCAAAGGAGGAAGGATCATGTCTACTCCTGAGTCCTAAAGCCATTTGAGGTGAGAAATACAACCATTGTCCTTCACTTTTTTAAACACCTCAACTGTATGCAACACTGGTTAAGGCAAATCTCTTTTTAAATTAAATTATACAGTTATTATTTTGTGTGGTGGGAATTAAACCCAGGGCCTCATGCATGCTAAGCATACATTCTACCACAGAACTAAACCTGAGCCTGTCTTTTGTTTTCTGAGTGAGTTTGTATTATTTTGGATGGAGGCGATAACACAGTCAAGGAAAACAGGTTTGCACTGTGTAAGGAATGGCAAGTCAAACTTGGGAAAGCCTCCCTCTAGTGTGAGGTTCTTTCAAACCTCTTGCATTTTCTTTGCATGGAAGGCTTAAGAAGAGGGTGCCATCTTCCCTCTAACCCAGAGGAAATGCAGCCTTAGGAAAAGCCAAGCGGCCCCAACAATGCTTAGGGATACTCCTTCCAGCCCTGCCTGTGCCTATGCAGCTCAGCTCACAGAGCAGAGTGCTTTGACTTGTTCAGAGGAGATGCTTTGGTTCTTGCTTCTCCCCTTACTCTGCCAGGAAAGCAAGAAAGCAAAAAAGAGAAGAAAATCTCTTAGCAGTTCAAGCTAGTTTCAACCGGTAGGTCACGAGTATGTCTGGTATTTGTTTATTTCCTTGTCCTCTTGAACTCTCCAACCCTATTCCCAGTTTAGCTGAAGACAATGACTGACTTGTTTCTTCCTGTTTTTTCTCATCCACTTTTTGCCCATAGAAGCCACTTTTTATAAAAGTCATTTGAGTGTATACAACAGAACACAGGAAAGGCTGTTTTCAGTATATTGTCAACAAGAGTCTGCCAGTGATTGGATGGTTTCAAAGTTAGTTCTTTCCAAACTTCTAAACATTCAAATATGTTTAAGAACACTGTAGATGCAAGGTTGTCAGTGAGATTTCAAGAGCCACGAATCAGCTTCCCAAGTAGCTGGGACTACTGTTTGTATTATGCTCACCTTTGGTCTTCAGCTCCACCCAGATTGGGGGGGGGCCCTCCCATCCCTGGAGTTCCCGCCATACAGATGGCCTCTCCCACTCTCCACCCAGATCCACCTGAACTCCCACCTACCTACTTCCTTTTCCCTCAGACCCTCCTGCTACCTGGACGGGGATGGAGGCTATGTGCTCCCTCTTGGGGGAAATATGGCTCCTCTAATAAACCTTATAATAATTTTTCTCCTGTGCCTGCCTGCCTCTGTGTGGTCCCCTGGGATGGATGTGTGGGTTCCTCCTCTTTCAACTACAGTCATAAGCTACCACGACAAGTTCTTTCAATTGTTTACTGTTACTATCAACAAGAAATTTTGAACAAGCAGGTAATAAAAATATTTTACTGATTTTTTAATATAACCATTAAAATTTTCAACAATGTCTTTATACGATGTAACTGTGCCTTCGTTTTTCTATTCTTCTTTCTGTCCTTTTACTAATAAAATGTAGTGCTGGAAAAAAATTTTTTTATAGTTATACAGACTCTTTCTAGACTCTTAGGACTTTTCAAGCAGAATATTTCAAAGCACTTCCTCCAACATGTGCCATTTGCCATCCCCATTAGAGGCCCAATCAACGACAGCTTGATCTTGGATCAGAATCTCCAAATTGTAAGCTAAACAACTCTTCTCTTTAATAAATTAATTCCCTTGGGAATTTTGTTGCTGCAGTGTGATGCTGACTAGGTCAGTTCCCAAATCATAGCCTTAATAAAATGTTTTAAATTCAAGCTCTACTGTTCTCTACACTGGGGGCCACTGGCAAAATCACTCAATCTCTCCAAGCCTTGGTTTCTGGCTTGGACATGGTGACATTGGAACAGTGGTATGATGATGCTCAGATTGAACAGGACAGTTCATATACAATGTTTGACACATTGGCAAGGGCTCAACCAACAATGGTTGTTTGAAGTGGAAGAGCCAGCATAGGAACTGTAGAGCCTGTGCCCTACTGTTTGTCTTGCCCACCTTCTGAATGGCATTTCCCAAACAGAAACATGTTCTACCCATCAAAATCTCTTGTACAAGCCGGGCGCCGGTGACTCACGCCTGTAATCCTAGCTACTCAGGAGGCTGAGATCTGAGGATCACGGTTCAAAGCCAGCCTGGGCAGGATAGACAATGAGACTCCTATCTCCAATAAACCACTAGAAAACCAGAAGTGGCACTGTAGCTCAAATGGTAGAGCTCTTGCCTTGAGCTGAAGAGCTGAGGGACAGCGCCCAGGCCCAGAGTTCAAGCCCCACAACTGACAAAAAAAAAAAAAAATCTCTTGTATAGCTTATTTGAACCCCTTCTAATGATATTAGGTTCTTTAATCCTTTATTATCTTTTTCTTCATCTATGGACTCTTTTTCTATCTCTAAAAAGTGCAGGAATGGGAGGAACAAGCAGTGTGAGGGCCAGCCATTAAGAGAACCTCTTTGCAAATGTCCCAGGGTTGTTGGTGGCCAGTTGTTGTTCCGCATGTGAAGTAAATTCACCACGTGCTTCCTCATTCATGTTTTATTAGGAAGTTGTAGCAAATCATTAACTGGTTATAAAACTTGAAACATTAACAAAATTATTCTGATCAAACCCATGATTCATGAGGGCACAAGACATTTCTCATGAAGACCAGATGTGAAGTCAAATATGGTATTTCATTTTACAAGTATTTTACATTTAATAGTTTCACAAAAGAAAAGGACTTCCAAAATAAACAACTCTGTAGACCTGTTAGCACTGAAGAATAGCTGAAGCTTAAATTGTAAGATCTACAAGAAAGAATGACATAAAATAAGTAGTCTTATTAAAATAAAACATGCTTGATTCTTTCCATCATATATACATATATTTTTTTCTCTTTAAATAAATATATATTATATATTTTTATTTCTTGTGGTGCTGGTGATGGAACACAGACCTCACACACATTAAGCTTGTGTTCTCCCATTGAGCCATGCCCCTATTATATGTTGTTTTCTGAGACGGGTTCTAGTCATGTAGCTCAAGTGGGCTTAGACCTTGCAAATCTTCCTGCCAGATACTCCAGAGTGCTGTGATTACAGCAATATACCACTATTCCCAGCTTCCTCTTACATTATTTCTGAAGACGACTTACTTGGCAACATTCATCTGGTGGTCTCGATCATGGAGTTTACTTGGTTAAAAACAATACAAAGAAACCAACAAATACCAGGCACCTGAGGCACAACTGAAGTCTACTCAAAAAGGAGAATTCAATTGGTTTTGCAATGTCTCCTCTCAACTTGGTGACAGGCAGCAATGTCTTACATTGGGACCTCTGAGTCTTCTGAGGAGTCATCAGCAAACAAAAATTTATCCTCTGATGAGCTCCCCAAGGGCAGTGTGCTACAGTGTGACCAGGAAACCCCATTCCTCACAGGTCTGTCTTCTGATAAAACACTGTCCTTTCCAACCATGAGCACAGCAGGGGGAGCAGAAGCCAGATCTTCCCATTCTTCACTGCCCCCGTTCATGATGTACCTTTCTTCTTGAGCTTTGCTCTCATGAACTTCTGCTGTGACCACGCTAATAGTCCCACTCGGAGTGCAAGAAGCAATGATGGAGTGAGGATCAATGTTCATGTCCAGGTGAGCAAGTGCCGGCCCCTCAGCAGTGCCCTCATCATTTTCTAGAGGCTGTGTGTTGATGTAGATGATGGCCGCTTGGTCCTCCACATCAGGCAGACTTTCCAAGAGTTTTTCTAGCTGGAGTCTCAGCATAGAAAAGGTAGGTCTGTCCAAGGGATCGGTGCTCCAGCAAGAGTACATGATCTCATACCTGAGAGTGAGAGACAAATGAGCATCTCCTGCCACAGCACCCATCCCCTTAGTACCACCCACTGCTTGGTCTTCATTTAACCTTTCACTAGTATTACATTTTAATCAGCATTTTTTCCCTTTATGAAAATTACTGAGATTCTTTGTTGTTGTTTTTAATGTGTGCTGGTCCCTGGGCTTGAGTTCAGGGCCTGGGATCTCTCCTTGAGCATTTTTCCTCAGTGCTAGCTCTCTACCACTTGCATCATAGCTCCACTTCTGGCTTTCTGGTGGTTAACTGGAGACAAGAGTCTTATGGACTTTCTTGCTTGGGCTGGTTTTGTGTGATGATCCTCAGATCTCAGCCTCCTGAGTAGCTAGGACTACAGGTGTGAGCCACCAGCACCTGGCTTTGAGATAGTTTTTCAAGGGGGTGGTACAATCCTTACTCAACATTTGTAAATGCTTCATGGGTATTTGACAAGAAAACTATTCTGTATTCAAGAATAGAACATGGATGTGGCAATCTTACATTCCTTTGCAAATAAAGAGCATTTAAAGTCCTCTTCTTTCTATAATGCTTGGCCAACTATGGCCTGGGTCCAAATCTGGCCCACTACCTCTATGTAAATAAAGCTTTATTGGACACAGCTATGCCTATTTGTTTATGAGTTGACTATGATGCCTTTTTTCTCCAATGGCAGTGTTAAGCAGGTGCTACAAAGGGCTCAAAGCCCAAAATACTTATGGTTTGGTATTTTAAAAGAGTTTCCCAATCTCTGTTCTACACCATCAAGCTGGTTTGGTACTAAGAGAGCTGAGTTAGATGGAGCCCTTGGGGCAACTAGGGGTAGTATAGAAGCAGTAAGAATGAGGGGAAACTATGTATTGCTCTTTCTGTACTTCCCAACAGCCCTGTCATACCACTTTGTAGAATAATGAAGTGGACCAGGCAAGTTACAGAGTGTACACTGGCCACGTGATAGCAGGAGAGGGAGGGGAGTCTGATTCAGATTGGGCAGGTCTGCTAAGTTCTATAGGGGACAACCTTCTCTTCTTGGTGGTAAATTAATTCCCAGTGTTCAAGGTCAATAAGAATTACAATGAAGATGCATTTAAAGGCACATGACAAAACAGAAAGAACAGTCAAGAACCACCTGGCTCAGAAACAGAGATATACCATCTCATTCTTTCCTGTGTGGAGAAATTGGTATTAATGTCACTAGATAAGAAAACGACATGAGCCAGGTGCTGGTGACTCTCATCTGTAATCCTAGATACACAATAGCTGAGATCTGAGGATAGTGGTTTGAAGCCTGCCAGAGCAAGAAAGTTTGTGATACCCTTATCTCCAATTAGCTGCCAAAAACAACAAACAACATCAACAACAACAATAGAGCTGTGATTCAAGTGGTAAAGTGCTAACCTTGAGCAAAAAAAAAAATCTCAAGAGACAGTGCCCAGGTCATGAGTTCAAGCCCTAAGACTGGCACACAAAAAAAGAAAGGGACCAATGGAATAGAATGGGAAACCCAGAAATGAGCCCACAGACCTATAGCCATCTAATCTTCGATAAGGGAGCTAAAATAATAGAATGGAAGAAAGACAGCCTCTTCAGTAAATGGTGCTGGCAAAATTGGTTAACTACTTGTAGAAAACTAAAGCTAGATCCTTATCTATCACCCTGCACCAGAACCAACTCCAAATGGATCAAAGACCTCGAAGTCAAAGCAGACACTCTGAAAACATTACAGGATGGAATAGGAGAAACCCTAGGTCTCCTTGGCACAGGCTGAAATTTTCTTAATAGAGACCCAGAAACACAACAAATCAAAGAAAGGTTGGACAAATGGGATTGCATGAAATTGCAGAACCTCTGTATGGCAAAGGACACAGCTAGCAAGATCAATAGAAAGCCCACATATTGGGAGAAGATCTTCACTAGCCATACAACGGACAAGGGTCTCATATCTAAAATATACCTGGAACTCAAAAAATTACATCCCCCAACAACAAATCCTCAAAGAAACAACTGCCCAATAAATAAGTGGGCTAAAGAGAAACTTCTCTGAAGAGGAAATAAGGATGGTCAATAGACACATGAAGAAATGCTCAACCTCCCTAGCCATAAAAGAAATGCAAATCAAAACAACATTGAGATACCACCTCACCCCATTTAGAATGGCTATAATCAAGAACTCTAATAACAACAGATGCTGGAGGGGTGTGGACAGAAGGGAACCTTACTGCATTGTTGGTGGGAGTGTAAACTTGTTCAACCACTTTGGAAAGCAGTATTGGAGGTTCCTCAAAAGACTCCACATAGAGCTCCCCTATGACCCAGCAATCCCACTTTTGGGCATTTACCCAAATGATCACAAACAAGACCACACTAAAACTACCAGCACAACTATATTTATTGCAGCATTATTTACCATAGCTAAGATATGGAACCAACCCAGATGCCCCTCAGTAGATGAATGGATCAAGAAAATGTGGTATATATACACAATGGAATTCTATGCCTCCATCAGAAAGAATGACATTGCCCCATTTGTTAGGAAGTGGAAAGACTTGGAAAAAATTATATTAAGTGAAGTAAGCCAGGCCTAAAGAAACATGGGTCCCATGGTTTCCCTTATTTGCAATAACTGGTGTATGTCTTAGTCAAGCAGAAAAGGTCAGATAAGTTGATGTTAGGGAAATGAACCCCAAGATAAGTATTCAAATTTTTTTTCTTTCATGCAATTGTTTCTAACATATTTGTAAGATGATTTCTTTGATGCTTTGTATGTCCCTCACCCACGGTATAACCCCTGCTTTCACTGTATTTGATGTTGGTATGATTTGTGGAAGGGAAGGGAAAAAACTAATCATTTAAATAGAGATACAGGTGGAACCATTGCAACAAAGATATGTACAAGTCCTTATGTTGAAAAACAAACTTTACAACTTTGGGTGGGGGGGGGTATGGGAAGGGATGGGAAGGGGAAACAAAGGAGGAGGCAGCAATGCTTGATAAGAAATGTACTCATTATCTTGCCCATGTAATTGTAACCCCTCTGTATGGTATTTTCACAACAATTAAAAAAAAAAGAAATACAGGTCCCATGGTTTCCCTTAGTTGCAATAACTAGTATATGTCTGAGATAAACAGAAACTGTCAGACAAGTTGATATTAGGCAAAATGAACCCCAGGATAAGGGTTCAAATTTTTTTTCTTTTTTGCGATTATTTCCAACATATTTATAAGATAATTTCTTTGTTGCTTATACCCCAGGGTATAAGCCCTGCTTTTACTGTATTTGATGTTGATATAATTTGTGGAGGGGAAGGGAAAAAACAAACTATTTAAATAGAGTTACAGGTGGACCCATTACAACAATGAGATGTACAAGACATTATGTTGAAAAAACGAACTTTACAACTTTGGCTGGGTGGGGGGTTGGGAGTGATAGGGGGGTGTGGGGGTGGAGAGGGGAAGGGATGTATGGGGAAACAAAGGAGGAGGCTACAATGCTTGATAAGAAATGTACTCATTATCTTGCCCATGTAATTGTAACCCCTCTGTATGGTATTTTCACAATAAAAAAAAAAAGGGAAAAAAGAAAAAAAATAGATAATTTGATAAAATATACTCTAGAAAGAACCCAATTTTAATAAATGGGAGAAAAACTCAATAAAAGAAAGAAAGAAAGAGAGGGGGGAGGGAGGGAAGGAGGGAGGGAGGGAAGGAGAGAAGGAAGGAAGGAAGGAAGGGAGGGAGGAAGGGAGGGAGGGAGGGAGGAAAGAGGGAAGGAGGGGAAGGAAGAAAACACAAGCAGAGCATGAATCGGGCACTGGTGACTCAAAATTTGTTTCCTAGTTGCACAAAAGTTATTTTATAATAATGAACCGAGGCAATCAACAAGAGGTCCTGCACCTTGTAAATAAAAGAAAGTCAGGATGACCGTTAAATTTTATGGATAGAAAAAAATGTGAACTTAGGAACTGCCATTGTCATGGTCATTTTTGTTATTCCATTGAAATTTTTTTAAAAGATACAACTGTCAGAAGCAAAGGGATAGAGGGAGAAGGGGAATATTGGATGGGATCAGGGTTTTAGTTACTTACGATGAAAAGGGTTCTGGTGGTGGATGGTGGTGATGGCTAAGGGACAGTATGAATGCATTGCATACAACTAAGCTGTATATCAGTGGTTAATACATTTTATGTTACATTTATTTTACCACAATTTTTAAAATGTCATCAGATTAATTTACCAAATGCATAGATTTATGAAGTTACCCAGAGTTTTTAGGCTTCTGTTTTGTTCTGCCTCTGAGATGGTAGATTACAGCTGTATGTCTGTTTCCAGAACTGCTGCTTGCCTTCCATTAGCTGTGTACATGTCTTTGCTGTGGAAAGACAGGATTTGTTCCAAGTAGCAATGCTACTTGGTCCACTGCCACTTGTAACCAGTTTCTCTCTGGGCCTGGGCTAGGCTCCTCACAGTCAGGGTCAGCCTGCCATTACTCTATAATAAGAACATAATTCTATCTATCTATCTATCTATCTATCTATCTATCTATCTATCTATCTATCTATCTATCTATCTATCTATCATCTATCTATCTATCTAGCTATCTTCTATCTAGCTATCTACCAACCATCCATTTATCTATCATCTGTCCACAGTGCACAGTGCTGGGGATCAAACCCAGGGCCTTGTGCATACTAGGCATGCACTCTACCTCTGAGCTATACTCAGCTTACAATTTTAAAGGTACATTTTGATTGTTACCCTAACAATGTTTAGGGTGCCTGGTGGTGAGGAGCAGGGAGAATAATGGATCTGCATTGTACCTGCTTACTCACTTGTTTGCTATGATGCCACTGTGATGAGAGAGTGGGAGAGGACAACCCCAGGCCCCACCCAGCCATGGGTTTCTATGGTTTACCAGCATCAGAGATGGAAACAAAAGAGGAAGGATATCTGCAGCCTAATGGGGCCCAGGGAGCAAAGAGCAGGCTAAGTCTTGTGTTGTACCGGTAGACTGAGTAAGTGCTAGGACCATGTACTGTGGTGGCCAGCCGGTGGGAAGGACTCTGAGGCTGAAGGAGACTGTAATGAACTTAATTGGGAAAATGTCTCAGGGATGTTGACAGAAGCATAGAGAATGGCATCTTGGGAAACAGAAAGCAGGCCTGCAACCTGGTCACTCCAAGGTGGGATATGTGTGAGAGAAATGACCCTCTGAGTGGCAGGTTGGGAGAGCAGGGCACAAAGGGCTCTATGATGAATATTATATTTCATACCATTGCTTAAAAAAAACAAACAGCAACTGAATACGGAATGAATTCATCTTAACTATGCAGAAACAGCAATCCTAGATGAGAAGAAGCTCAGAGTATCATTTTTGGAAGGAAATACCTCAGGAATGGAATGACACTGCTGCTCACCAGCATCCAGATGTCAGAGCAGGTCCAGGAAGAAGGCCTGCTGGCCACATCTGTGTCCGCAAACCCTGGGCACAGAGCCAGTAGGAGTGTGGGGATCATGGCTGTTTGCATCTGCCTGGCTGCCCAGCCACATGGCGGGGGTTGACTCTGCCACTATTCTCTGTTCTTAGAGAACACTGACTCAGCACTCCCTCATTTTGGTTTCATGTAAAACATCCAAAACCCACAATGAGACACAGCTCAGACTTTGGGGAGACCCACGTTAATCACAGCTAATGTCAACTCTGGTGGCACACTGGGAAAGTTAATGAAGCTTTTCTCATTCAATATTGTTGGACTGAAAGGCTACCTTCTTTTCAGAAGCAAACATTTCATTAACACAACCTTTTAGAAAACTACTGTGAAACCCCTAGAGCTAATTTAATTTAGGATTTCAAAATGTGGTTATGGGATCTGCAGGGCTTGTTTCGGTTTAATGTTAGACATCGTGAGCCACAATAATAACCATTATCAAGCAGAGAATGGCTTGGATCAAAAGTAAATTTGTGTTTGGCTTTTGGACCTAGGAGGCTGCATACAAACTGATCTAGGCCCTTTCCACGATGTAAGGTAGTGCGGACATAGCTTAGGGCAGCCCTGAGGCTCTGCAACCAGTGTCCCAGCATGGTGCTACCATGGCTGAGCTGGCACAGGCCCAGGGTCCAGCAGTATTCTTGCTATGTGTGGTAAGAATGTCCCTTTTGAGGCTGGGAATGTGGCTTAGTGGTAAAGTGCTTTCCTAGCTTGCATGAAGCCCTCGGTTCATAAACAGAGTACCACATAAACAGAGAAAGTTGAAAGTAGCTTTGTGGCTCAAGTGGTAGAGTGCTAGCCTTGAGCAAAAGAAACTCAGAGACAGTGTCCAGGCTTTGAGTTCAAGCCCTAGGACTGGCAGAAAAAAAAAATAGAATGCCTCTCTCCAGGCCCAGGGCTTTCATTATATGGGAGACACTGAGAAGAAGGCTCACGGAATCAGGCGACAGACAGCTTCTCACAGATATCATTCTGAAAAAGATGGCTGGGGGAGAACAACCTGAAATGATGCTATTGCATTTAGTGTTATTGCATGAGCATTCCTCTGCATGACTCCTACCAGCTGAACATTGCAGACACTTCTTTAACCTTCACTGCAGCTCTCTGAAGAACGTAGGGACAATGTTATTTTTCTGGCTGATAATATGAAGCATAGAGAGGCTAAGTTACACATGGCTAGCCAGGAGGGAAAGCCTGAGCTGTCTTACCCTTAAACCTACATCTCTTTGCCAAAGAGCCTGGCATTGAAGACAGAGAGGGACAGAGTGAGACAGAATGTATACTGTAGCAGGAGCTGAGAACATTCACACTTAGCTGAGCACTGTCTCAGGAGCATTTTAGAACACACATTTCTAGGTCTACGTTGTACCATTAGCATGTGTCCATGGCTATGGGTTAAGGAATTGCACTGTTAGAATAGCTTGTCTCCCAAGCAAGCCAGGAACAGATGGCTCACATTTGCAATCCTACCTATTCATGAGTCTGAGATCTAAGGACCCTGGTTCAAAGCCAGCCTAGCCAAACAAATCCAAAAGAGTATTACCTCCAATTAACTGGCAAAAAAACAGAAGTAGAGGTATGGCTTAAGTGGTGTAGCGCCAACCTTGAGTGAAAAAGCTAGGAGAGAACATGAGGCTTTCAGTTCAAGAACCAGTACTGGTGCACACATGCACAAACACACTGAGTTCTGAGGACCAGCCTCAAACTTTGATTTCAAAGTTAGTGACTCAAATTCCTAAGTCTCCTGACGAAGGACATCAATGTGACTTATGTGTTTGAAATGTGATATAGGAAGAGAAGGATAAGTAGAACTAAAGAGGGTAGTAAATTATTCTAGTCCCTCCTATACAATATTATTTATTCATAGACATATTTCCAGAGATGTTTATAGAGTTGGGTAACATGTCCCATTGCCTTATCTTGACAGGACCCATCAATGGAACTAGGACCTTCTGGTCTAGTTCCAGTGGTCTCACTGGAGATGTGTATACATTACCTTTGACATCTGGAATGGCTGCCAGACTGAGATATCTATAGGTGCTCCCTTCTGCATATGCCTACCAAGCTAACAATAGATCCCTTCAAAGATCGCATTTCCCTAAGCTTGCACAGAATCAGTGGCTGCTCCATGCAAAGCCCAGTGACACAAGACCCTCACTCACAGTTCATCCAGGCAGTCCTCAGGCTGCTTCAGCCTGTGGCCATGCAGAAGATAGTCATACATCTCATGGTTCTGGACTCCAGGATAGGGAGTCATTCCCCGTGTTGTGATTTCCCACATGGTCACGCCAAATGCCCACTGAGAACAAAGCAAAACATGTTAGGATGTAAGCCTTTCCACAAAAGTTGAATGGACTTTTTCATTAGCAAATGTCATTTCCTTAAAGCCCTGATGATTATACACAAAGATGGCAATTATATCTGAGACCCACTACTCTCCCAACATGGCAACAACGTGGGGTTGGAGTGTCATAGTTCCCCCATTTTTATGCAAGCTCTTCTGGGAAATGTAAGGGCAGTTAAAGCCTCATCTCCCATCGACCTTGCTTCATGTTCTTTGTGGGGCAACAGTGGAGCTTGGGTCAAGGGTCTAATGACACAGCACCTTCTGTATAGTGGATGGGTTCCAAAGAACCATTAGATGAACTCATTCAACTTCATGTGAATATGAAATATCCTAGCTGTGGGCAGTAAGTCCTAGGCAAAACACAGCTTCTGAATGTCAGGACACTTCACCAGAATGAATGTATTGTTCTGTTTGAATGAAAGTACACTGCAAATGAAACAGAAGTCTGAGCATACTTCCAATCTCATTTTCTTGCCAAAGAAAATGTCTTGTGACACTGGCCTGCCTTTTCTCCTTCTTTCCTCTCTCCCCTTCTTTTGCTTTTCCTTCTTTCCTTCCTTCCTTCCTTCCTGCCTTCCTTCCTCCCTCCCTCCTCTCCTTTTTTCTCTCCATCATTCCCTTTCTCTGTCTCTCTCCTCCCATTCTTCCCTTCCTCCCCCTCTCTCATTCTGTCTCTTTCCTCCTAAATTAATTCATTTTTTTTTAAACACAGGGCCTCCTGCTTGCTGGACAAGTGCTCTACAACTTGTGCCCTCTGCTCTTTCTGCTTTGTTTTTCAGGTAGAATCTCATTTTTTCCCAGGCTGACCTGGACCCTTCCACTAAAGTTTCTACTGGAAGTAAGATCTCAGGTATGCACCACCACACTTCATCTTGTTTTGAGATAGGGATCTCACTCATTTTTTTTGCCTGGGCTAGTTATGAATTGTAATCCTCAAATCTCAATCTCCTTAGTAGCTGGGATTACATGTGTGCGCCATCACATCTGACTTCAGTTTTCTTTCTTTGTCCTTCTTTCCCTCCTTTTCTCTGTATTTAGCTTCCTTTTTCTGTGTGGTATTGGGAATGGAACTCAGGGCCTCACATAAGTTACTAAGCATTCTACCATTGAGCTACATCCCAGCCCCCTCAGTCATTCCACAGGCCTCACCCTCATCTTGGCCCTGGGGAACCCAAATCAAAGCTGTGTACACACCACATCACTTTTACTTGTGTAGACCCGGTCTGCAAGGCTCTCTATGGCGATCCACTTCACAGGCATCTTAGCAATGCGGCCTTGGCGGTAGTAATCACCACTGTAAATCTTCTTGGAGAGGCCAAAGTCTGCCACACAGACAGTCATGTCATCTCGCAACCTGTATGGAGAGAGTCCATGTCTTTACCCAGATCTGATGTGACTGGATGCATTCAAGATAACCAACCAAAGAAGCAAGAGCCACTGGGGACTGGAAGAGTGTGTGGAGCTGGCCTAGGAGGAGCACCCAGACACAGTGGCTGGAGACACTGGAAGGGATCAAGAGGGAGGATGGCTGGAGCGGAGGGAGTAGCAGCTCCTCCTGGACATGTCCAGGGGCCAACCTGCTTAATGTTTGGAAGTGTACTGGTCCTGTGGACTAAGGAAGTCCTTGGGGAGATGAGGACATGAGGTCTGAGAGAGGCGAAAAAGTTTACAATGTAAGAGAGAGAGACTGGACTTTTTGCTAAGATAGGTAGGTAATTGAGGAATTAACTGAAAACTTAAGCAAACACAATTGCATTTACATCACAACCTATTAAAATAGACAAGAAGAAGGGAGAAAACAAGGGGGAGGGATAGGGAGGAGGAAGAGAAAGAGGGAGAATGGGAAATAGGTAACTAACTTGTCTCTGTCTCAAATTCACTTCCTTCCTTCTTCCTTCCCCCATCTTCCTCCTTTAATTTTTTTCGTCAGTCCCTAGGGCTTGAACTCTGGGCCTGGGCACTGTTCCTGAGCTCTTCCACTCAAGGCTAGTGCTCTACTACTTGAGCCACAGCACCACTTCTGGGTTTCTGGTGGTTAATTGGAGATGAGTCTCATGGACTTTCCTGCCCCAGCTGGCTTTGAACTGCAATCCTCAGATCTCAGCCTCCTGAGTAGCTAGGATTATAGGTGTGAACCACCAGTACCCAGCTCTTCTTTGATTTTTTTTTAAAGTGGCACTACAATTGGTCAATTTGGGGCCTTGCATTTGCTAGGCAGGCAAGCTACTATTTGACCCACTCAAGTCATTTTTGCTTTAATTATTTTTTTCAGGCTGGCATGGATCACAAATCTCCTAGTTACACTTCCCACATAGCTGAGATGTCAGATGTGTTCCATCACACCCTTTTTATTGGTTGAGATGAGATTTCACTAACTTTTTGCCTTGAACTTCAATCCTCCTGAGTAGCTAGGATTACAGGAGTGAGACACTGTGTCTGGCTTGTTATTGTTTTGGAAGATTTATAGCAGATGATGGCTCTGCTGAAGCATGTTGAAGGGGGTAAAGTCAAGTCCGAAGTTTTCATATAATGATCACTCAGGTGCTATTCAAGGAGAGCCTCTGGATAGGCCAGGTACAGCATAACATTAGGAAAATGAAGGGATAAACATTTATGATTGTCATTAAGGTGATGTAAGCCACTATTCACCTTTGTCATGCCATGTGAGTCATGATTACAAGCAGTTGGCTCACAAACTCTCTGGGTCCAAAGCTAGTTGGTGGTATAGGGAAGGGCTCAAACCCTGCCTAGTGCTTCTCATGTAGTACAAAGTGAAAATATATATATATATATATATATATATATATATATATATATATTGCCGGTCATGGGGCCTGTACTCTGGGTCTGGGCGCTGTCCCTCAGCTCTTCAGCTCAAGGCTAGCGCTCTACCACTGGAGCCACAGCGCCACTTCCTGCTTTTTCTGTTTATGTGGTGCTGAGGAATTGAACCCAGGGCCTCATGCTTGCAAGGCACGCACTCTACCGCTGAGCTACCTTCCCAGCCCCAGTGAAAATATTTTTTAAAAAAAGTAATCACTGAAGAGGGTTTTGGAGGCCAACCAGAACCTTGGAAGCAGAGACAGAGAAAAGTTCCAAGCAGAAAACCATAACGAATCAAGAACATGGCAATCTCCTCATAGATTACATCAGGAGAGGCCCACCACCTTGCAGGACCCCCAGAATCTTACATGCAGTTCCGAGCAGCTAAATCTCGATGGAGAAAATTCCTGTTGCTCAGATACTCCATTCCCAGGGCAATGTCCACCATGAACTTGAGTAATGTCTGCAGAGGAATGTGCTAGGGAGGTGGAGGAAACAGGAAGAAAGATCATCTTTGAAAAGGGAAATGGAATGCAATTTCTATCTGAGGTGGAAGCATGGTATATTTCACTAAGATGAGGGGATAAAACAAGAGATGGTATCATTCACTAAACTGCTCCTTTCATATCACTAAGCTCACAAATAGTGGTGAGCTACATAGTCCAAGCTGGCCTTGAACTCCAAATCCTCCTATCTTGGCCACCTGAGGGCTGGGGTTTCAGGTATACAATTTGACAGCAATACTACTTTTCAAAAAGAATAAAAAAAAGAAACGGATGTAACTTTCTTGGAGATTACAGCATTCTTTTGTCCTTTTTTTACAAGTATTTGCAGAAACACTGCATCTTTGTACATATGGCAAGGAAAGAGGTGACCTCCCTGAGGGAGGTGGGGCTGCAGCTGGCAGGCAGAGGAGAGCACAGAGGGCTGGTCTCGACTCATTGAGGGCCGGAGCACGCATGGTGGGGATGGGATAGTCTGATGTTTCAGAGGTGAAAAGCCCACTAAGTGGGAGTTGTTTCCAATTAGGTACCATATCTGCTGATTAAAAAAAAAAATCCTTATTTGTCATGCTGGGGTAGAACTGAGCCTCATTCACTCGGGGAAACCCTCTACTCCTGAACTACTCTCCCAACCTTCTGCTTTAAAAACATTTACTTATTTTTTATTTATTTTTGCTGGTTCCTGGGGCTTGAACTCAGGGCCTAGCTGCTGTCCCTGAGCTTTTTTGCTCAAGGCCTCAGTTCCCACTTCCAGCTTTTTAGTGGGTAAGTGGAGATCAGAGTCTCACAGACTTTCCTTCCTGGGGCTGGCTTTGAACTACGATCCTCGGATTTCAGCCTCCTAAGTAGCTAGGATTACAGGTGTGAGCCACTAGCATCCAACTTCTGCTATCGTTTTATTTTGAAATTGTAATTTTTTAAAATGTCAGTACTGGGGCTTAAACTGAGCCATTTCTCCAGTTCCAGATTTTTTTTCTGGCTAACTGGACCTAAGAATCTAAGAGTCTCAAATCTCTTCTCTCTGTTTCTCTGTCTCTGTCTCTGTTTCTCTTTCTCTCTCTTTCTGTGTGTGTCTCTCTCTCCTACTAGCTTCAAGTATCTATTTGCTGATTTCAGCTTCTTAAGTAGCTAGGATTATAGGCTTGAGCTACAGGTACTTGGTTTGAAAGGTTCTGAAAGACAGTTTCTTTCTTTTGCTTCTTGATTTTTTTTTAAGAGTCACAATGGAATACAGCTTGAAACTCACAAATGCACAGTCCTCCTGCTACTGGAGCATGTGTGTTACCATATCTGGTCTTGAAGACACTTTTCTTCCTGCAGATAGCAATCAGGTTACCCCGACCTCTTAAATATGCATTTAAGTTGATGTTAGGGAAATGAACCACAAGATAAGTATTCAAATGTTTTTTTTTCATGCGATTGTTTCTGACATATTTATAAGATTATTTCTTTGTTGCTTTATATGTCCCTCCCCCACGGTATAACCCCTGCTTTCACTATATTTGATGTTGGTCTAATTTGTGGAGGGGAAGAGAAAAAACAAATCATTTAAATAGGGATACAGGTGGACCCATTGCAACAATGAGATGTACAAGTCCATATGTTGAAAAACAAACTTTACAACTTTGGTGGCGGGGGGGGGGGGGGGGTGAGGGGGTTAAGGGGTGGGGGGGGTGGGGGGGCAGGGGAGGGAGGATCGGGTTGGGGGGTAGGGGGGTAAGGGAAGGGATGGGAAGGGGAAACAAAGGAGGAGGCTACAATGCTTGATAAGAAATGTACTCATTTTCTTGCCCATGTAATTGTAACCCCTCTGTACAGTATTTTCACAATAAAAAAATTAAAATTCAAATTAAAAAAAAAATTTTTAGCCTGGCGCCAGTGACTCATGCCTGTAATCATAGCTACTCAGGAGGCTGAGATCTGAGAATCACAGCTTGAAGCCAGTCTGAGTAGGAATGTCTGAGACTTATCTCCAATTAATCACAGAAAAAGCTGGAAGTGGTGCTGTGGCTCAAGTGGTAGAATGCTAGCCTTGAGCAAAAGAAGCTCAGGGACAACATCCAGTCCCAGAGTTCAAGGTCTGGCAAAAAAAAAAAAAAGAATTTTTATTTCAGGCCACCTTAGTGGTAGAGTGCTTGCTTAGCATGCATGAAGCCCTGAGTTCCATTCCTCAGTGCCACATAAACAGAAAAGGCCAGAAGTGGTGCTGTGGCTCAAGTGGTAAAGTGCTAGCCTTGAGCAAAAGAAGCTCAGGGACAGTGCCTAGGTCCTGAGTTCAAGCCCTAGGACTGGCAAAAAAAGAAAAAGAAAAAAGAATTTTATTTCATTTTTATAGGCCCTTCCTGTAACTTTCAGTGATACAATATTTTCTTTATGTTGTAAAAAAAAAAAGCAAAGTAGATTCCTGTTTTAGAAAATCTGCCATTGTTTGAATTGGTCATGGGAACGGTGGTGACTAATGAAGAGCTGCAAATAATAATTAAATGTTTGAATGCAGGCAGTGCTCTATATTCAAGGGCTTACACAAGTCCCTGGCAGCCTTAAATGCCATCCATGATAACTATGCACAAGGCATTGGGTCTGTCTATGGCTCATACTCTACAGAATATGATTCCCCAATGTGCTATTCACTTATACTCATATTCTTTAAGATATGTGTCTATTATATAATATACATAAAGACAGTCAATGCCTTAATTATCCTTACCCTGAAGTAATAAGTTAGTAAAAAGTGTAACCAAATCAGGCATGAAAGTTTGGCCTCTGCTCTAATATCTGGGGTATTGGTTTTCTGGATGCTAATTTCTAGCAAAGGATTTGAGTCCTAAGAAATATCAAACCCTTTTGCCATTTAGATAGGTATAATAAGCATCAGATACTAGTCATTTATGTTATTTTTTTCTAAAACAATGTTATACCAGGAATGTGTCTAAACATCATTTAAAAATAATTAGGTGACAACAGGTGCTAGTAGCTCAGGCCTATAATCCTGGCTACTTAGGACGCTGAGATCTGAGGATTGTGGTTCGAAGCCAGCCTGAGCAGGAAAGTCCATTTGACTCTTACCTTCAATAAACTACTAAAAAAGCCAGTACTAGAGTTGAGGCTCAAGTGGTAAAGCACTAACCTTGAGCCAGAAAGCCCAAGGACAGTGCCAAGGCTCTGAGTTCAAGTCCCAGGACTGGAACAAAAAAATTGTATGATACAATTAATAAATGGGTTCAACAAGATTTCAGTGAATGATATGCACATATAAAAAACAATGATGGCTTTATAAACTATATCGTAGTGATAATGTGAACATGAAACAGAAAAAAAAACTGGTTATGATAGTATCAAAATAAGATAAGTGTAATTTATGTTCTAAAGCCACAAAATATTGAAAGCAACAATGATCAAAATACAGGAAAGATATCCTTTCTTCATAGATTGGAAGACAATATTGTCTTCCTAATAACAATACTCCTCAGGCTGGAAAGTTGGCTCAGTGGTAGATTGCTTGCCTTGCATGCATGAGGCCCTGGGTTCAATTCCTCAGCACCACATACAAAAAACAGAAAAAAGCTGGAAGTGGCTGTGGTTCAAGTGGTAGAGCGCTGGCCTTGAGCTGAAGGGTGAGGGACAGTGCCCGAGCCCGTAATTCAGGCCCCATGACAAACAAAAAAAGAAAAAAGAAAACAATACTCCTCATATTGAACTATACCTTCAATATAAGCACTACCAAAATACCAGCTGCTTTCTTCATAGAAATCAGCAAGTTGATTCTAAAATTCATACTCAAGAACCCAGAACACATAAAGTTAGCTTGAGAAAGAACAAGGTTGGAAGGATCACATTTACTGATCTCTGACTTGCTACAGAGACACTGTGGTACAGGGATAAGGACAGATCTGGAGGTAAATGGAATAGAATCTGGAATCCAGGAATAAACTTATGTATGGTAAGTCAACTGTCAATAAGGACGTCAAGTCTTTTTTAACAAATGGCTTCAGGACAACTAAATAGTCACATGAGAAAGAAGTAACTGGATTTGTAACTTAAGCCATATACAAAAATTAAATGATGAAAATATAGATGAAAAAAATTGAAGTGAAAGCCCAAACTATAAAATTATTACAAGAAAATGTAGAGGTAAATCTTTGTGATCTCAGATTAGGCTGCTTAGAGTTAATGTCAAATCCCAAGCAACCAAAACAAGATAAACTATAATTCATCACAATAAAAAACATTTATGAGCCGGGCAACGGTGGCTTATGCATGTAATCCTAGCTACTCAGGAGGCTGAGATCTGAGGATCACAGTTCAAAGTCAGCCCAGGCAGGAAAGACTGTGAGACTCTTATCTCCAATAAACCACTAGAAAACTGGAAGTGGCGCTGTAGCTCAAGTGGTAGAGCACTCGCCTTGAGCTAAAGGCTGAGGGACAGCGCCCAAGCCCAGAGTTCAAGCCCCATGACCAACAAAAAAATAATAAATAAAATAAAATAAATAAAAAACATTTATGCTGTGGCTCATAAGTACAATCCTAGTTTCTTAAATGGATGAGATCTGAGGATTGCAGTTTGAACCCAGCACAGGCAAGAAAGTCCATGAAATTGTCATGTCCAATTACCCACAAAAAGACAGAAATGGAGCTGTGGCTCAAGTTGTAGACTGCTCACCTTGAGCAAAAGCCCTAAGTTCAAGCTCCAGTAAGAGCACAAAACTAAAGAAAACAAAAACAAACATTGTGTTTCACTATTAAGAAAGTGAAAACAGCCCCCAGAATGGGAAAAAGTATTTGTAAACTATGATTTGATCAGGACTTGTACCTAGAACAAATACAAAGCTCTTATAGGTCAATAATAAAAATATAAATAATCTCATTAAAATTTGGCAAAAATTCAAATAGATATTTTTCCAAAAAAGACATACATGTGGTCTAGAACTACATTAAATGATACTCATTATTAGTCTTTAGAGAGATCCAACTCCAAATCACAACGAAATAGCACTTCATATACATGCTAGTAGGGCTATAACAAAGTCAGGAAATCAGAAGTGTTGGTGAGACTACTGTAGAGAAAGTGGAATGCTCAGACATTGCTGGTTAGAATATAAATGAGTAGTTACTTAAAAAGAGAAATCTGGCCATTTCTCAAAAGTTAAAAATGAGTTATCACTTGATCTAGCAATTACATAGCTAGGTACATGCTGAAGAGAACTTAAAACATGAATATTTATATACAAGTGTTCACAGAACATTATTCATAACAGACAGATGAATAGTTACAATATAGAATCTTACTGGGCCATGCAAAAGAATAAGGTACTGATATATACTACAACAAGAAAGACCCTTGAAAACATGCCCTGTGAAAGAAGCCAGTCACAAGAGACCACTGATTTATATGCTTCTATTTATAGGAAATGTCCAAAAATAGGCAAATATTCAAAGACATAACCTACGTAGCAAAAAATAACCCTCCACCCCCCACTATTCTAGGAACATGAGAGGGGAAGACAGACCACGAAAGAAGAGGGAGAAGGAAGAGACAAGTTTCTCTTTGCTTTCCGGGTTTTTCGTTTGTTTGTTTGTAGTAAGGATACTGAAGTTAAAATTCAGGGCTCACACTTATTCAGCTTGCATGTGTGGCTCTTCCACTTGAGCCATACTTCCAGCCTTATGGAGACAGAATCTCTTGGACGTCTCTAGCCGGGCAGAAAAATGTCTTTGTCGATGTTGTTCATGGGGCTTAAACTTTGAGCCTGGGCGGTGTCCTTGAGCTTTTTTGCTCAAGGCTACTGCTTACCACTTAAAGTGGTAAAAAAAAAAAAAAAAAAAAGCTCCATTTTTGGTGTTTTGGTGGTGGGGTTGGACATCAGAGCCCCCAGACTTTCCTGTCCAGGCTGTCTTTGAACCATGTGATCCTTAGGCCTCAGCCTCAGATTCCAGGCATGAGCCACCAGTGCTGGGCCAGAAAACATCCTTTAAGGACATTTTGACTTGGCATTGGTATTACATGCTGGTGAAGTCATCCTCCCTGCTGTAAACCTGAGGACCAAGCCTAGTTTATCTCCCTTGCTTTGTCACCTAGCTCTCCTCCTTCCTCTGCGTGTTTTTGTCATGTGATAATTTGCTTTTCCTGAAACATGTGTGTTCTCAGATGCTCATTCTTAGCTTGGCTGCATACTTCTCTTATTTTCCATTTTCATTCCTACCATGTTTTGTTTTGGTTTGGTTGTCTCAAGATCTTGCTTGGCTTTTTCTGCTCATATCTGGTAGTCTACCACGTGAACCATGCCTCCACTTCTAACATTTTACAGATGAGAGATAGGAGTCTCAAAGACTTTTTTGCCCTAGCTGGCTTCAAATTTGATTTGTAGATCTCAGCCTCCTGAGTAGCTAGGATTACAGGTGTGAACCACTGGGGCTTGGCACCAACTGATTTTTGACAACGGTACAAGAGCAATTCACAGACTTTTCACAAATGATGAAACCCCCTACCTCAGTAAACCCTGAACTCAAATACCCCTGCTTTCACTATATTTGATGTTGGCATAATTTGTGGAGGGGAAGGGAAAAAAACAAATCGTTTAACTAGGGATACAGGTGGACTCATTGCAACAATGAGATGTATAAGTCATTATGTCCAAAAACGAACTTTACAACTTTGGGGGGGGGAAGTATGAGGGGTGAGGGAGGTGGGAGGTGGGAAGGGATGGGAAAGGGAAACAAAGGAGGAGGCAACAATGCTTGATAAGGAATGTACTCATTACCTTGCCCATGTAATTGTAACCCCTCTTTACGGTATTTTCACAATTAAAAAAAAAAGAAATTGCAATAAACTAAAAAAAAAATGAACTGAAAATGGTTCATCTACTCAAATATGAAATGTGAAACCACAATTTTTAGAAGAAAACCACAGAAGAATGCTTTTTTTACTAGGGGTTAGTGCTGGTTCTGGGGTTTAAATTCAGAGCTTTTCACTCTTTCTTGGCTTTTTAACTCAAGGCTGAAGCTCTGCTACTTGAGTCACATCTCTACTTCTAGAAATAGGTAGAAACTTTCACTTCTAGAATTATAGTAAGTAGGTATACAAGTCTTTATACTTCACTTCTATAAGCACAGAGACCTGCTGTTGGCATCAGCTAAGGATATAAGGATATAGGAAAGGTTTGTGGCAAAGAATATCCAGGTGTAGTTTGAGAGGGACAGTTCCTTCTCAGGATTTTTTTTTTTTTTTTGCTGGTCATAGGCCTTAAACTCTGGAAGCTATCCCTAAGCTCCCTTTGCTCAAGGCTAGTACTCTAACACGAGCTACAGCACCATTTCGGCTGATTAACTGGAGATACGCGTCTTATAGACTTTGCTATCAGGGCTGGCTTTGAACCAAGGTCCACAGATCTCAGCCTTCTGAGTTGCTAGGATTATAGGTGTGAGCCACTGGTGCCAGGTGACTGGTGCTGTTTTTTTTTTTTTTCTTGTCGGTTGTGGGGCTTGAACTCAGGGTTTAGTTACTGTCCCTGAGCTCTTCTGCCCAAAGCTAGTGCTCTACCACTTTGAGCCACAGCTCTACTTCCAAGACTAGGGCTTTTTATGATCAGTAGTTCAGAGCAGTGTTAGCCTTGTGTAACTTCTGTCATAAGCCAGGGTGACTACTGATAGAGGCCAGCTGCTCACCATTCCCATGTATGCCACACAGCACTCTGCAGCAAGCTGCCCTCTCTAGTAGATAGAAAAGAAAAGTGAGAGGAAGAACATGTGGATGGCTCAGGTCAGCATTTTTTGTGGACACAGCTCTCAGTGCCTGCTCACAGTCCATGTAGCTATCAACTGGAAGTCAGACCTGATGCTGCAGTTTTCCTTTTAGATAAAGAAGGAGGCCCCTGTGCTATGTCTCCTTCTATTATGGGTCCAAACGCTGAAGTCAGTCCTGAGCTATCTAAATGGTCTACAATCGCTCCAACAGCAACATCCCAACTTGTCCAGGCTTTGCCTTTCCCACTGCGGGATGACATGAGTGAAATCATACACACGTTTGTAAGAACCAACTATATAGCCTCTTGGCTCCCTGTATTTAACTTCAACTCATCTTAAAAGATTAAAGCTATCCTAATATATTCACCAAAAACAGACACACTTCTTCAACAGAGAGGTGCACATGAAGGATTGTGTAGAAGTTACTTTAGGAGACCACCTTCCATGTCCCAGGCCCCATGAATGATCTCTCAGGAGCACATGGTCAGGAGTGACAAGAGATGCAGGCTGGGTGCCTGGTCCCTTTAGTACCCAATTCAGTGAGGCTTTGGCCACTAGCCAGAGGCCTAGCCAGCTTGCTCTTACCATAACAGACACAGGCAGGCCTGATGGGATGTGGAAGCCAGAGTTCAGCCTCGAATGCACAGTGAGCAGTAAAAGGTCATTAACCTTTCCTCCTCCTCACCAAAGTCAGATGCTAGGGCTACCCTGGAAGGGTGAGTAAGGTCCTAGGCACTGTGAAGTTACATCTTGAGGCCCAACAAGATTGTTACCTTTGGCCCTGTCTCCAATCTGGAATATAGTAAGTAGGTATGTAAGTCCCCATACTTCATGAAGGGCAAAATCACCATGGGCTTCGGGATGCCTTGAGAGCTCATTTCTATACACACGCCTGAAATGAAAAACAGAAGCATTTACAAAGGGCCCTTGTTATGTGTGACCAAATATGCCCTGGAGGACCCATGGCTAAATTGAAACCATATGCTGCCAGGTTAATAGTTTAAAAAAGCAAAAGCTCCTAACACACACACACACACACACACACACACACACACACACACACACACGATGTGTTCTAGAACATCCTAACACACACACACACACACACACACACACACACACACACACACACGATGTGTTCTAGAACATCCAACTCACACAGCCTCCACTACTTGACCTTTTGTTTTTCTTTTCATATTAGGACCTGGCTTTGCATGGGAGATTTTCATAGTCAATCTACCACAAAGACAGCCAGCTAGGAAGTGAGAAGTTTTGCTAGCCTGAGTGTAACTGAAGGGGAGTGACCTCATTAGAATTTGAACTCATTGGCTTCTTGTGACAATTAAATAGTTAATCATATGACAAAGTCTATGCAACAAGGTACTTGAAACTATTTCTTAAATAATTTAGGATTTACAGGTAAAAAACCCATGTCCTAAATTCTAAGTTATACAAAAGAGAAGTGAAAATATCATTTATCCTGGGATTCTGAAGTGTAGCCTGTCACCTGATCCTAAGCTGCAAAGCACAGGCATTTTGCTAAGCAATTACAAAGTACAATTGTCCTCACAGTCTGGCTACCGCCAATAGCTGCAAATATATAACAGCTGTTTTTTAATGTGATATTGTATCCAAGTACTACTTTTCAAATCTCTTTATAGTGTCAATCATATAAAACTGGGAAAGAGCCCCAAATAATTTATCAAAATTTGTCCTCGGACAGAAAAAAGAGTTCCATTATTTCTAGCTCATTCCTTTCTCTTAAAATAGTGTTCTTGGGCTGGGAAGGTGGCTCAGTGGTAGAGCGCTTGCCTTGCATGCTCAAGGCCCTGGGTTCGATTCCTCAGCACCACATAAGCAAAAACAAAAAAGCAGGAAGTGGCACTGTGGCTCAAGTGGTAGAGCACTAGCTTTGAGCTGAAGAGCTGAGGGATAGCGCCCAGGCCCAGAGTTCAGGCCCCATGACCGGACCCAAAAAAAAAAAAAAATAGTGTCCTTTACCTAGTACCCACTTCAACTTCACCTTCACTTCCTTTGTGTTTTTTATCTTCAAAGCCATGTCCATAAAATTGTCAATGTACCACAATTATAAATCAGTACTTTCAAATGGGTGGTTATATTATTTCTCAAAGATGTCTATTCTTTTTTTTTTTTGTCAGTCGTGGGACTTGAACTCTGGGCTTGGGCACTATCCCTCAGCTCTTCAGCTCAAGGTGAGCGCTCTACCGCTTGAGCCACAGCGCCACTTCTGGTTTTCTAGTGGTTATTGAGTGGTTTATTGGAGATAAGAGTCTCACGGACTTTCCTGCCCAGGCTGGCTTTGAACTGTGACCTTCAGATCTCAGCTTCCTGATTAGCTAGGATTACAGGTGTGAGCCACCGGTGCCCTGCAAAGATGTCTACTCGTATAGATGTATCCTACTGGTATGACTGATAGATAACAAAGCTTATCACATGGCCAGCTCTGGTGTCTTGCCATTGAATCACTGGTGGCTAACTTAATTTACAGTTATCTAAGGATACTCTCACCATCCTTGAGCCCACCTCAGTCCAAAAAACACAAACTCATTTGTATTATCAGTTTCAGAAAACAGAGCCATAAGAGGTCAGTCATAGCAGTCCATGTGTATAATCCCAGGAAGTACAGGTAGGAGGATTTTAGTCTAAAGCCAGCTTGGACAAAAAAAAAAAAGTATGCACAAGGCCCTCTCAGAAAAGCAAAACAAAGGATTCAAGTAATAGAGTGTTTGCCTAACAAGTATAAGGCCCCAAGTTCAATTCTCCCAAACTCCCCCATTCTGGGGTTTAAACTCAGGGCCTGGATGCTGTCCCTGAGCTTTTGTGCTCAAAGCTAGCACTCTACCACTTGAACCACTTCCGGATTTTTGATGGTTAACTGGTGATAAGACTCGCACAGATGTTCCTGCCCAAGCTGGCTTGGAACCACAATCCTCAGATCTCAGGCTTCTGAGCAGCTAGGATTAGAGGTATGAGCCATGGGTACCTGGCCCAGGTTTAATTCTTAATAACACACACACACACACACACACACACACACACACACACACACACACACGAAAAAGAAAATTGAACTACAAGGGAAAGTATTCTGGATTAAAAATACATACGAAACAAAACCCCATTGTTGTAAATTCCTTTGGGCTTATACAAAGTGTAAACTTAGTTAGGCTAGAGATGTTTCCCTTTGGTGCATTCTGGATTAGCGAAGCCCCTGCATCCCACTCTCCGCATTTATTTCCCTGAGGTACCTAGAAGTCGGATGACGTTTGGGTGGTTGAAGTCTTTCATGCACGCTGCCTCACTGAGAAACTCCTCGATCTCCCGCTGAGAAAAATTGTCCACTGAAGAAGCAGATGGAAAACATTAGGCATGATTATTTTACTCAGTTAAGGGGAAGGAATGGGCAATGGCAACTGTGTTCTCTAAAAGTAAAATCACACTGGGCATGGTGGCGCCCATGTGTAATCCCAGCACCTGGGAGGCTGAGGCAGCAGGACCTTGAGTTTCAGACACACCTGAGCTACACAGTTAAGACTATGTTTCAAGGGGCTGGGAAGGTGGCTCAGTGGTAGAGCGCTTGCCTTGCATGCATGAGGCCCTGGGTTCGATTCCTCATCCTTAGCACCACATAAGCAAAAAGAACAAAGCCTGAAGTGGCGCTGTGGCTCAAATGGTAGAGTGCTAGCCTTGAGCTGAAGAGCTGAGGGACAGCGCCCAGGCCCAGAGTTCAGGCCCCACGACCGGACCCCTCCCCCCCCCCAAAAAAAAAGACTATGTTTCAAAAAGCAAGCTAACAAAAGCTAAATATCAGCAAAAGGTAAAACTATAGATGATACATAAATAGGGCTAATAGGGGCAAGGGGAGAAAAAAACACAGGAAGGTTTTAGTTCCATGAAACTATTCTGTCATTTATACACATAACAACTACATAACATCAAAGTGAACTCCAATGTCAACTAAAGACTTTAACAGTAATGTATCTATCAGTTGTAAGACATCTACACTAATGAAAGGTGTTGCTGACTCAGCCACTTCCCTCAGTGACAGGGATTCCACATTTCCTTCTGAACTTTAGTACCCAAGATCTGAACACTATCACCAGTGTCCAAGTGCACCCAGTGCTGAAACCCCACCCATAAGAGTGGGGTTCTCTGCTGATCACTCACACTTCATGGTCTTCACAGCCACTTTCTGAGTGGTCCCATCTTCCTGCTTCAGATTTCCTTCCATCACAGACCCAAATTCTCCTGCAGAGGCAAACAACACCTACATGGATGCAGTGTGCATTCTCCCTGTCCATAGCCCTGCTGCTCCCATGTGGTCTGAGGTGACTGGTTCAATCTATAAGAGCCAGGTGCAGCCTGCCCAGGCCTCTTCCGCTCACATACCAGCAGTGTATGTCATACACTAGGGTCCTGCTTACCCTGGACTTGAGTGGCTCTGACCTTAATTTGTCACTTCATTAAGCATTATTAATAATAATTTACCCAAAACACTTATAGGAGATCATGGGTAAAATTCAAAAAGCACAAATTTTTATTTTCAGTGCTGGTGATGGAACCCAGGGTGGTTTCATGTGTATTAAGCAAGCACTCTATCAATTAATAAACCCTAGCCCCAAGCAGGAATTCCTAATACCATTGTCATACATCCTAAGGACAGTTTAGTAAGTTACATTCTTATTTTCACTTTTGTTTCTATGTAATTAAGAAGGTGTCATAAATAATCAACAAAAGAAATAAATTTGAAGCCAGGCGCCGGTGGTTCATGCCTGTAATCCTAGCTACTCAGGAGGCTGAGATCTGAGGATTGCTGTTCAAAGACAGCCTGGGCAGGAAAGTCCATGAGACTCTTATCTCCAAAAAACCCCTAGAAAAACTGGAAGTTACGCTGTGGCTCAAGTGGTAGAGCACTCGCCTTGAGCTGAAGAGCTGAGGGACAGCGCCCAGGCCCAGAGTTCAAGCCCCACGACTGATCAAAAAATAAATAAATAAAAAAAATAAATTTGAAGCTTACTGAATAATGAGTTGCATGCTTTTCAAGGAAACATAGACACTAATATTTTCTAAGCCTACTGTGCATTGTAGGAACTGGGGGAGGAGATTTCTCTCTTTTATTGTGTGATTGCTAGTCCTGGGGCTTTGAACTAAGGGCCTAGGCACTGTCCATGAGCTCTTTTGCTCAATGCTAGTCCTCTGCCATTTGAGCCAGAGCTCCAATTCCATTGTTTGGTAGTTAATTGGAGATAAGAGTCTCACAGACTTTCTTGCCAGGGCTGGCTTTAAACTGTGATCCTCAGATCTCAGCCTCCTGAGTAGCTAGGATTACAGGTGTGAGCCACTGGGTCCTGGCCTGGGGAATCCCATTTTTTATGTCAAATCTGAGGCCATAAAGTTAAGTTATAAAACAGAATTATATGTAATAACTTGAAATTAAAATGGTACTTAGTTTAATAAATGCATATTTTAAAAATTCTTCTCAGGAATTCCTGCCCAGGCAGGAATGTCCACGAAGCACTAATTTCCAACTAACCAGCAAAAACCCAGAAGTATGGCTCAAGTGGGAGAGTGCTAGCCTTGAGAAAAAAAGCTCAGGGACAGTGCCCAGACTGTGAGTTCAAACCCTAGGACTGGGGGAAAAAATTCTGTCAACAGTTTATCTTCATGCCTTACATTGCAAAAATAATTACTTTAAACTGCTTACCTTCACCAAGAATTTTTCCAAGAATTAGAAGATTTCTGTCAATCACAACATCTTCTAGTTTATTTTTCAGTTCCTCACTGACTCCCAAGCTATGTACTATAAAATGAGTCACAAGGTACATTTAGGATTATTTAAATATAATCAAGATTATGTTTAATGTCTTCTCATAGTTACTTTTTTTAACATTTGATACTCACTATTTTTCCTCTCAAAACACCAGTAATAAAATACCATACTTCATTCTACAGTGATTAAAGCAAATTAAATTAATCCCTCTGGGCAGGACTACTTGTGAACAACTGTAACAATCAGAACACAATCCTCACGGGGCAGCAGGGCAACAGCCAGGTTGTGCAGAAGAGCTTTGCTTCTGACTTAGAAGAAGGAAAATAAGTCAATAAGGACTTGCTGGGACCCACTAGCAAGTCACATGCCCAGTCCAACTGGTCCAAGTAGATATACAGAAAAGCCATCTGGGCCAGGCACTAGAGGCTAACATCTGTAATCCCAGCTACTCAGGAGGTTGAGATGCCCCCTCCACCTCCCCCCAGGAGGTTCAAGAACCACATGACTCGTCTTACATGTGACATGGGCCCCTCATCATAAGGACATAGGAAGGGCTAAGCTGGGAAAGTGGGAAATCAGATTGTCTATAAAAATAAAATACTTCATATAATATATAGCTATATCATAGATATGTAGCAGTGATAATAAGTATTAGCAATTGACCTGGAGAGGGAAAATGAACAAGCCTTTGAAAGGAATAAAAAGTGAATTAAAAAGGACAATTAGTTTTTAGACTTTCTCCCAGAATCCTCAAAAACTAGTGTCTAAATGAACAATTTCTTTTTTTTTTTTTTTGGGTCCGGTCATGGGGCCTGAACTCTGGGCCTGGGCGCTGTACCTCAGCTCTTCAGCTCAAGGCTAGCGCTCTACCACTTGAGCCACAGCGCCACTTCCGGCTTTTTTCTTTTTGCCTATGTGGTGCTGAGGAATCGAACCCAGGGCCTCAGGCATGCAAGGCAAGCACTCTACCACTGAGCCACCTTCTCAGCCCCTAAATGAACAATTTCTTTAAATTTTTTCTTTTTTTTTTTGTCAGTTGTGGGGCTTGAACTCTGGGCCTGGGAGCTGTCCCTGAGCTCTTCAGCTCAAGGCTAATGCTCTACCACTTGAGCCACAGTGCCACTTCCAGTTTTCTGTGGTTACTTGGAGATAAGAGTCTCACGGACATTCCTGCCCAGGCTGGTTCTGAACTGCAATCCTCAGATCTCAGCCTCCTGAGTAACTAGGATTATAGGTGTGAGCCACTGGTGCCCAGCTTTTTTTAAATTCTCGAAAAAGCCTAGCAAGAAGGGGTGCATGTGTCATCCCAGGTACCTGGTATGCAAATTCTTAAATTCAAGGCTAACCCAAGGAGAAAGTTAGCAGTGAGGCTTAATCTCAAAACAAACAAAAAGTTCAAAAATATTCTTTTAGTCGGTCGTGAAGCTTGAACTCTGGGCCTAGGCGCTGTCCCTCAGCTCTTCAGCTGAAGGCGAGAACTCTACTACTTGAGCTACAGCGCCACTTCCAGTTTTCTCATGGTTTGTTTATTGGAGATAAGAGTCTCACAGACCTTCTTGCCTAGGCTGGCTTTGAACCGAGATCCTTGGATCTCAAACTCCTGAGTAGCTAGGATTACAGGCTTGAGCCACCGGCACCCAGCTTATTCTTAGTTTTACATGTGTGGGAGTCCTAGGGCTTGAACTAAGGGCACTGTCTCAGATTTTTGCTCAAGGCTGGAGCCACAGCTCCATTTCTAACTTTTTAGTGGTTAACTTGAGATAAGAGACTCACAGACTTTTCTGCCTGGGCTGGCTTTGAACCATGATCCTCAGATCTCAGTCTCTTGAGTAGCTAGGGTTACAGGTGTGAACCACCAGCACCTAGCTCAAAAATATTTTTAAAATGGGCAGGATATTGGTGGTCCATGCCTATAATCCTAGCTACTAAGGATGCTGAAACTCTGAAAAATGAAGGTTCAAAGTCAGACCAGGCAGAAGGCCACAAGACTCCATCTCCAAAATAACCAGCAAAAAGCTAGGCTGGAGGTGTGGCTCAAGTCATAGAGCACCAGTCAAGCCAGAAAGCTGAGTACAAAGTCCTGGAATCAGCAAAACAACACAACTTAAAGCAGAGACAAAAGAAAGAGTTAGAAATTAGAAAAGAAAATGTAAAACTATTCCATAGCAGCTGCATTCCCTCATTCTTACTTCCTTTTTTATTTTGCTTTGGCAAGCATGAATTTCATTACATTAGCACATTCTTTCTAGGCTCTTTCTGACATTAATCAGTAACACTATCAACTGTTTATACTCCCTCCCCAACCCTTCAAACCAAGGGACCCTACTCCCTGATTCAGCAAAATTTAAACATAATTGCTACAAAGTATGTTGGTAAATTGTCCTCTGTGATAATTTCCTGTTTTTTTGGAAAACAGGAAAGGAGTATTGAGATTATGCCCATTGCTTTGCATTTCCTTTAAATCTCTGACTTCTACCTGACCCCCTAACACCCAGAAGATTCCCCCCTTCCCTCTGGCTTCTCAACCCCAGCTTCAACTCCCAACTTCCAGTAACCCAACCAGCCCAGATGTCCATGCAATTTCTGATGATCTGTTTGCTAGTTTCTGAAAACACTTTGTATATTAAAAATATACATTCTTTTTTACCTCTTGGCTTTTGCTGGAAACCTCTCTGACGGTTATTCTGTTTTGGTTCTCTACTATTTTAACTTTTGTCAAAAGTAAAACAAAAGTCAACTTACAGGTGAGTTCGATGGCTCGCCGACTGAAGGATTTCTTTGCTATGTAATTTACAACTAACTCAGAATCCTCTTCTGTGAATGCACTCCTGGGTGATAGAAAGAAAGATATACAACTATAAAAATATGGCTGGGTGCCTTTGACTCACGACTAGCTACTCAGGAGGCTGAGATCTGAGGATCTAAGTTTGAAGTCAGTTTGGGCAGGAAAGTCTATGAGACTCTTATGCAGAAAAACTGAAAGTGGTCCTATGGCGTAAGTGGTAGAACACTTGCCTTGAGCAAAAAGGCTCAGGGACAGTGCCTAGCCCCTGAGTTCAAGCCCTAGGATTGGCAATAATAATAATAATAATTAAATTAAAAAAATATAAGGCTGTAGGGCAGTACTGGTTTCTCAAGACGGTGATTAAGTCATCCCCTTTAAAAGGGATCTTCTGTAGCAAGAGTATTTCCTGCTTAGGAAAAATACATTTCTTTCCTTATATCTATTCTAGACTACCTGGCAATACCAAATGACTGTCCAGGTATCATATAGAGCAGAGCAAAGCCTGACTATCAGTGGCTCCCACCTATTATCCTAACTACTCAGAAGCCTGAGACATGGAGGATCACAGTTCAAAGCGAGCTAGTTAGAAAAGTTCATGAGACTCTTACCTCCATTTAACCAACCAAAAGTCAACTGGAGATGTGACTCCATATGATAGAGCACCAAGTATGAGCAAGAGAACCATAAGGCCTAGAGTGTAAGCCCTAATACCAGCACACACACACACACACACACACACACACACACACACACACAAAAGCAGAGAATAGGGCTGAAAGTGTAGCTCAGTGACAGAGAGCTTGCCTAGCATGTCCAAAGCTCTGGGTTCCATCCCCAGCACCTCTGAAAGAAAAAAGAAAGGCAGAGAGGGAGGGAGAGAGGGCGAAAGGGAGGGAGGGAGGAGGGAGGGGGGGAGGGCGGGAAAGAATTAAACAAAGTTAAGAAAGAAAAGATCAAATAATATAACTGATAGGTTTCCAATGGCCAAACAATCTGAGCAACAAAGTAAGAGTATAAAACATGTATAAATATAAATATGATTTAATAAGTGGAACCAATTCAGAAAATGACAAGACAAATGTCATATGCACTATTCCAAATATTTTATGTAGACATTGTGTCTGTTGGCTAAGGGGATGCTAAATCCTTACCTTTAAGCATACGTTGCTCATACTGCCTTGTTTCAAAAAAAAAAAAAGCATGCAAAGGGAGAAAAACATAATTTCAGGCAGAGCAACCCAGCAAACACTTAGGTGCTGAAAGTCACCAGTAACAATAATAGATAGTTTTGCTCATATGTACCCTTGGGTATGCATAATGAAAAAGCACATAAACCTCTGCATTCTTCCTCTTAGTTACCCACAATCCCAGTCTTACCAAATCCCAAATCCCTACAAAACACCAGACCAGTGTTCTCTGAAACCTCTGTAACTGTCAGGACCATCACAGACAAGGAAGCTCTAAAAAACTGCCAGCACTAGAGGAGCCTAAGGAGACACAATTAGCTGTAATGTAGGATCCTGAATGGGAACGCAAACCACAGAATGGACATAAGGAAAACTGGATATAGTATAGATTTTAGCAAACCACAATGTATCAGTAGTGATTTGTTAATTGTAACAAATGTACTCTACTATGGTAACATGTTGATAAGAGGGGACAAGGGAGGGGCTGTGTGTGTGTGTGTGCGTGCGTGCGCGCGCAAGCACTGTTACTGGAGCTTGAACTCAGGGCCTGTGCTCTTCCTTAGCTTTTTTGTTCAAGGCTTGCACTTGAGCCACAACTCCACTCTGGCTTTTTGCTAGTTAATTGGAGGTAAGAGTCATAGACTTTCCTGCCAGGGTTGGCTTCAAACCTTGATTCTTAGATCTAAGCCTTCTGAGTAGCTATGATTACAGGCATGAGCCATCAGCACCTGGTTCAAATGGAATGTTTTCTTCTGTATTTCTCAGCTGTGAGATTACAAACCATGAAGGCAGACCCTATATGTCTTGTTCCTCTTCCTCTATTCGGTGCTTTGAACAGTGCCCCCCTTTTTTGAACATGCAAACATGACCTTCTATTCAATTCATACATAGAAATGGACATCTTGTGTTGTCCACAGACTGAGTTCTCTGTAGGTCTTGATGTACCAAAACCTACATGGTGTAACAACAACAATCGTTTTATGTAGAAGAGGATAAGTTCCCAGCATACAAACATTTGTTTACTGTAGTTGAACTCAGGATCTTTTGTTCTCATTCAACTTGGTTGCTCAGCTGGCACTTTACCATTGAGCCATGCCTCCAGCCTGGCTTTTTGCTGGTTATTTTAGAGATGAGATTTTGCAATTTTTTCTCCCAGGCTGGTTTCAACCCATAATCTTCCAGGTCTCAGCCACCTGAGTAGCTAGGATTACAGGTGTGGTCTACTGCTGCTCAGCTCCCATGCAAACTTTTGTGTTTTCCAAAACTATTTTGGCTTCTACTGAACATTGATCACTTGAGTTTTACCAACAATCCAGCACCAATTTTGGTGGTGATTATGTTGAATTCATAAGGAAAACTGATCTCTTGACAATATCTAGGCTTTAATATTTAATATATCTCTCTCTGTAGTCTTCTTTAGCACTGTCAGTACAGTTTAATCTTTTTTCCCCAAAATGCTTTTGAATATCTACTAGGTTTTCTCACTATCAGAGAATGGGACCTCATTCTAGTATTTTGTTTATTTGGTTGGATTTGTTGTTGCTGTTGTTGTTTTGTCTTCTGATACAGAGTCTTGCTCTAAAGACAAGGTTGGCTTAGGATTCTTGGTCTTCTGCCTTAGAGCTTCTCCAGTGCTGGGATTATAGGTGTCTACCACTATATCTGGCTTATCTTAAAGTATTTTAAAACTAGGATCAAAGTATTTTCATGACATATATTATTTTAAATAAAAAATTAAATTTCTTTTTTTTTTTGCATTTTGAAATTTTAATCTTTATTGGAAGCTACTCTCCTTTTTTCTTTTATTGTCAAGATAACGTACAGAGAGATTTCAGTTATATAAGTAAGGTAATGAGTACATTTCTTGTCAACCTTGTTATCCCCTCCCTCAGTTTTCTCCTACTTTTCCTTCCCCACAACCCTCAAGTTGTACAGATCGTTTCCAACAAACTGTTTTGTGTATATCACTGTTGCATTGGTTCCGCTTTTCTCAAAGAAGGCAGGAAGGAATCAAGGTGTAACTTTAGAAGCAGCAACAGAAGCCTTAAATATCTGGGGACTGGGAAGGACAATCCTGCTACTCCTGGCAAAAGTGTCTAAAGACTATGGAACCCTTGCCCCTCCAGGATTGCCTGAGCTGCATATTATAGAAGTCCGTGTCAGGCTACAGGAGCTCAGGCCATCACTTTCTTACTCTTTATAAACTCTGTGTTCTAGGTGTTCTCAAGCAAATATATTTGTGGGCCATTCTGTAATAATGATTGTTTCAGTCATGAATTTCCACTTGATTATACAAAGGCAGTTGCTGCTAATTCTTGAGGAGTGTGTGTGTGTGTGTGTGTGTGTGTGTGTGTGTGTGTGTTAGTATTAGAAGTTGAACTCAGGTCCTCAAGCTTGTTAGGCAAGCACTTTACCACTTGACCCATGACGTCATCTCAGCTCTACATTACTAATGATTCTTAAGAACACTGACATCTTTAAAGTCTTAACTACTCTTAATTGCTGCAATCATAGATATCAGAACTGGGAGTGACCTTGGAAACTATTCAGATTCAGGGAATGACAAAGAAACCTGGAAAAGTAAAAAGGCTTCTCTATGTAGAAGAACTGGGCCTGGAGTCCAGGCATCCTAACTTCAGTGCTTTCCTTGTGTGTGATATCTTACACATAGGGCCTTCACACACATTGCTCTTTCTGGCCTTGGACTGTCACTCCTAAACTCTTCCTTCGGAATAGCTGGGATTACAGGTGTGAGTCGTGGAGCCTAGTCATATTCAGGATGTCTACCAGATATTTTATGCTTCTTTAAAATAGTTGCTCTTCAATTTTATTTAAGAAGATATTGTAACAATAAGTTAAGACGTTTAAGGACTGAAACGGTAAATGCAGTGTGGTCTTCACTCTTAAGCCCATTTCAGTGCTCATGGGAAGTTGGGATGAGCAGCTCATGCTAAGACCCTGTGTGTATGGGATTCCATGCAGCAGAAGGACACTGGGCTGAAGTTGTGATACCTGGATTCCAGACCTCATGCTCAATTCCTACTCAAGAGGTGGAGCAGTGGAAGACAGCTGCTTAGTCACCTCCACAGCTAACTATGCTCCCTCATTCTTTCTCATTCCAAACTAGTTTGTCTCATACAAAACACTTCCTTTTGCCCCATGACCTTCAACTGGGTATCATGGAGATTCAAATTCACTGCAGAGCTGAAGTGGAAAGTTCCAGAAAGCTTTTCTCATAGGTTGCTTCTCGTGCTGGTACTTAACTAGTGCTTTATTAGAAAAGTAAGATGTGTATCAAAGAAGAAAAGGAGCCTCTCCCCGCCCCAACTTCAATGTTAAAGTATGAAGTCTTAGCTGGGTGCTGGTGGTTCATGCCTTAAACATAGCTACTCAGAAGGCTGAGATCAGAGGATCATGGTTCGAAGCTAGCCCAGGAAGGAAAGTCTGTAAGATGCTTTTCTCCAATTAACCATTCAAAAACCAGAAGTACAGCTGTGGCACAAAGTAATAGAGCACTAGCCTTGAGCAAAAAAGCTCAGGAACAGGGCTGGGATGTAGCTCAGTGGCAAAGCGCTTGCCTAGCAAGTGCAACGTCCTGGGTTCGATCCCCAGTACCAAAAAAAAAAAAAAAAAAAGCTCAGGAACAGTGCCCAGACCCCCAGTTCAAGCTCTACAACCATCCAAAAAAAAAAAATAAAATAAATGAAGTATTCTCTACTAGAGAAATAAATGATCATAGCAGAAATGTGTTAAATGTAGGAAAAAAGAAAATAAAAAATGAAAACCTAGTGATCTAGAAAAATACTAACCAGAGTTGTTAATGTTTCATTGGTGAATCTCATTCCTATATTTGTGTCTATATATACAGATTGAGGATCTATTATCTGAAATGATGGGGGCCAGAAGTGCTATAAATTTCAGACTTTTTCAGAATTGGGAATGATTTCTTTTATTTTTGGCACAGGGGTTTGAACTCAGGGCTTCATGCTTGCTAGGTAGGTGCTCTATCACTTGAGCCATGTCCCTGTCCCAATTCCTTTTTCCTTTGGTTAATCTTTCAAATAGGGTCTTCCTTTTTGCCCAAGCTGACCTGGACAGTAATCCTCCTATTTATGCTTTCCATGTAGCTCTGATGAGAAGTGCATGCCATCACATTCCGTTTTTAATTGTTTGAGATGGACTCTTGTGAACATTTTGCCTATGGTGGGCTGGAACTGCAATTCTCCCAATCGTCTCCCAAGTAATTGGGATTACAGTTGTGAGCTATCATGCCCAACTAGATTTTGTAATATTTTCACACACACAGATATATATGTATATATGTATATACACACATACGTACAACATACATACATAATGAGATATCTTGGGGATAGCACCCAAGTCTAAATATTAAATTCATTTCTATTTCATGGATACCCTATATAAGTATCTTAAAGGTAATTTTACATAATAGATAACTGTGTATATGAAACAAAGTCTCATGGTGTGGTATCATTTCAGTTCTTTAAAAGTCTCGGATTTTTGAGCCTTTGGATTTTAGATTTTCAAACTAAGGACTCTCAATTTGTTTATTTAAAAAACTGGGTCATTTTGAAGGCTTCTAATAAAAGTTTGAATAGTGAAGGCCTATCAATCCTCTTCTCTGTCAAAGGTGTCTTTGCAGGGGTGACTCTGACTGTCGCTGCCTTTATAGCAACTAAGGAAGAAAGCTACCTAATCCCAGGAGTTTACAAGACACAGAACCCACCACAGATCATAGTGAAGACCACAGCCAGGAAAAGCAATACTCCTCAGTCTAATAACCACATAAGTTCTACTGGACCAACATTTTTAAACTGGAAACTTACCCAAATTTTGTCTCCAGGATTCTTTTTCTGATAGCCAAAGAAATATATAAAACTAAGGCAATCAACACAATTCCACAAAAGCAGCCGAGGATAATCAGCACAGGCTCTGTGTTGCCAGGAGCTGGAGTTGAGGAGGGAGCATAATCGACCCCACCTGGTAAAACAGCAAAACCAACTAATTTTAAACATTTCTTTAGGATAGGAAATGCCTAAGCAACACTGGGTTGTAACTGAGAAGCACAGATAGTCAAAAACTTTGAAAACATCAATCCTTTCATGATTTGTGATCAACAAATGCAAGCAGTACAGTTTTTACAAGCTGAGACTGTGAAACTCAATAATCAATGAAACTGGCTTTTTTAAAACCATTCCAATAATGTACACCTTGGTCAAAACCTCACTTTGTATGCCACAAATATATAAACTTTTTCATTTTCAGTTTAAAAAAATAATGAGGAACTCTCATCATTTTGGTTATAAATGTACAAGAAAATAAAACAATTAGCAAAACAAATATTTGTATGTGTATATATAATGCATATACATATAATAAAACAATTAGAAAAACAAATATTTATATTTAATTTTTTTTTGAGAAGGTCTCATAATATATCACAGACTAGTCTTAAAGTCTTGGGACCTCTGAATCAACCTCCCCAGTGCAGAAATTATAGGAATGTGCCATGTCCAACTGACACACTGTAATTTAAAACATTAGAGTAAGAATCAGCTGTTTGGGCTGGAAAGGTGGCTCAGTGGTAGAGTGCTTGCCTTGCATGCATGAGGCCCTGGGTTCAATTCCTCAGCACCACATAAGCAGAAAAGGCCAGAAGTGGCACTGTGGCTCTAGTGGTATAGCGCTGGCCTTGAGCTGAAGGGCCCAGGCACAGGGCCCGTGACCAGCCAAAAAAAAAAAAAAAAGAATCAGTTGTTTTACTGTTGGAGACATGGCTTAAGTAGCAGAGTACCAGACATGAATAAAAAAATCAAGCATGAGCAAAGAGTCCTGATTCAAGCCCCAGATCAATCAGCACATGTACGTATGTACACACACACGCGCACACACACACGTACACACACACGTACACGTACACACACACACACACACACACACACACACCAAACCACAAAAAGAACCAACAGCAAAACAAAAAAAAAGGCCTAGGGTATAGCTCAAGCACTAGAGTGCTTACCTAACAAGTACAAGGTCTGAATTCAAATTCCATTGCCACAAATAAATTTTTTTTTATTTTTATTTTTTATTCTGAAAATACTGTACAGAGGGGTTACAATTACCTGGGCAAGATAATGAGTACATTTCTTTCTTTTTTTGGGGGGGAGGGGAGGTCCGGTCATGGGGCCCGAACTCTGGGCCTGGGCGCTGTCCCTCAGCTCTTCAGCTCAAGGCTAGCTCTCTACCACTTGAGCCAGGCACCACTTCTGGCTTTTATCTTTTTGCTTATGTGGTGCTGAGGAATCGAAGCCAGGGCCCAGGCATGCAAGGCAAGCGCTCTACCACTGAGCCACCTTCCCAGCCCATGAGTACATTTCTTATCAAGCATTGTGGCCTCCTCCTTTGTTTCCCCTTCCCATCCCTTCCCATCCTCCCCCCCCCCACCCCGACCCAATCCTCCCCGCTATCCCCCCTCCCCTCACACCAAAGTTGTTTTTTTTTTTTAAAGTAGATTTCTCTTTATTTTTTTCCCCAAAGTTGTAAAGTTCATTTTTCAACATAACGACTTGTACATCTCATTATTGCATTGGGCCCACCTGTATCCCTATTTAAACGATTTGTTTTTCCCCTTCCCTTCCACAAATTATACCGACATCAAATACAGTGAAAGCAGGGGTTATATTGTGGGGGAGGGACGTACAAAGCAACAAAGAAATAATCTTATAAATGTGTTAGAAACAATCGCATGACAGAAAAAAACATTTGAATACATATCTTAGGGTTCATTTCCCTAACATCACCTTATCTGACCTTTTCTGCTTGACTCAGACATATACTAGATATTGCAAATAAGGGAAACCATGGGACCTATGTTTCTTTGGGCCTGGCTTACTTCACTTAATATAATTTTTTCCAAGCCTTTCGATTTCCTAACAAATGCCACCAATCAATTTTTTTAAAATAATAAAAAGAGTAGTTTGAGCAATGTTTGTCTTCTAGTCATGTAAGTTAGGGCACAGGAAAAATACATTTTTCTATGTCTTGGAGAATTGTCATATTCTTTCCCAAGCATGGATGGAATTTCAACATTTTGTCTTTGTTGTTTTCAGTGTTGTATGGTAACTCTGAGAAATTGGGTAGGTGGAGTTTTCCTGAAGAGTGAGGATTCATTTTATTACAGAACGTGGATGAACCCTGCCTGAGACACACTGTCCTCCTGACTTTCATGTCAATTTGAATTCAAGATAATATGTATAATGCATGTTTTTTTCCCCCAAATCCAGTGTATTCATGTGACTTGTGTTCTTATTCAAATATGAAAGGAATTGGTATTTTGATTTAAAGGATGAGCAAGAAAGAACCAGAAATACAACTTGCTTATGAGGGGGCTAGACTAATGACTAAGGAACTATCCAGTAATAATGGTCTCCAACATTTCAATATACAGTAAAACTATGGCTAATTAAGAAGCTATTGATTCTAAGAACCAGGGCACCAGAACAGGACTTCTAAGTCTGCATGCCAAGTTGACCGCAAAACACCAATAATAACCTCCTTTTCAGTCTTGCAATATCCATAAATAAAGCAGATAGAAGGGATAAGGGATATATAAACAATGTTAAATAAACAGTGCATACAATAGCCAGGTGCCAGTGGCTCATGCCTGTAATCCTAACTACTCAAGAGATTTGAGGATGACTGAAGTAAACTCGGGCAGGAAAGTCTATGAGATTCTCATCTCCAATTAATTACCAAAAAGCCAGAAATGGAACTGTGGCTCAAGTGGTACAGGGTTAGCCTTGAGCACAAAAGCTCAGAGACAGTGCCCAGACCCAAAGTTCAAGCCCCAGAATCAGCACATGTACATACATGTGCGTACGCATGTACACGCACGTGCACACCCATCCACCCATCCATGTGCTTATGCACACCTGCAGAAGTCTAAAAATATTTTTTCAAAAAACAAAATGCTTAAATAGGGATAGGGATACAGGTTGACATTGCAACAATGAGTTGTACAAGATACTATGTTGAAGGACTTAAGAAACAAAGAACTTCCACTCATCTGGTCTAACCACTACTAAATAACCCCATGTTGCTGATCACATGTATGGTGTATATGTGTACACCGTTATATGTTATAGACCGTGATAGACAATTTGCTCCAGGAAAGTTAGAATGAGTTTGTGACTTTAAATGAGCATCACTATCCCACAATACTGTGAAATTTGGGAAAGTATGTAATCACTTAATCACAATAAAAAAAAAAACAAAACACCAGAAAACTAGAAGTGGCGCTATGGCTCAAGTGGTAGAGCATGAGCCTTGAGCTGAATTGCTCAGGGACAGCTCCTAGGCCTAGAGCTCAAGCCCCGCTACTGACAAAAAGAGAGAGAGAGAGAGAGAGAGAGAGAGAGAGAGAGAGAGAGAGAGAGAGAGAGAAAGAGATCTTTCATGCGATTGTTTCTAACATATTTATAAGATTTTGTCTTTGTTGCTTTGTATGGCCCTCCCCCATGGTATAACCCCTGCTCTCACTATATATGATGTTGGTATATGTGGAGGGGAAGGGAAAAAACAAATCGTTAAAACAGGGATGCAGGAGGACCCATTGCAACAATGAGATGTACAAGTCCTTATGTCAAAAAACGAACTTTACAACTTTGGTGGAGGGGCCGGGGGTGGGGGTGGGGGAGGATACAAAGGGATGGGAAGGGGAAACAAAGGAGGAGGCTACAATGCTTGATAAGAAATGTACTCATTATCTTGCCTATGTAATTGTAACCCACCCCTCTGTACAGTATTTTCACAATAAAAAAACAGAATATGTTTTTTGGTGTCAGAATCATAAAGAGCAATCATAACTACTAATAGAGTAACCTAATGGGTAAAACAATTTTTCTGGTCAAGTTTCCTTCTGCAAATTTGTTTACTTGGTCACCAAAATTTATACACTGAGCAGCTTTTATTTTTTTTGGTGGGGGAAGAATCAGTTGAGGTAATTGCTGGAAAAACATGGAGATATATTATTCTGAAAAATGAATCAATATGTCTAGAGTTATAATCCTTATGAAGAAAATTATTAAAGAATTATATTCTTTAAACACATCAGCTTCATGTAAGTTGAATTTAACTCTGTGTGAATTTAACGCTAAGTGTGAATGTATACAATGAGTGCGTGCTATTTTTAGTGCCTTTTTCCTGAAAGTTGTGCAGGCCCAGGAGAGAGAAAACGGCTTCAGGATTTGTGGTTAATTCAGAACTTTTCTTGGTGCATTTGACTGTTACATCTTTAATTCTAAATAAAGAAAGAATATGTAGATTAAAAAAAAAGATATTATGTTGAAAACAAAGTTTACAAGTTTGTGGGGGGCAGTTGGGGAGGTGGGGAAGGAAGGGATGGTAAGGGAAAACAAAGGAGGAGGCAACAATGCTGATAAAAAATGCACTCATTACCTTACGTATGTAACTGTAACCCCTCTATACAGTATTTTTACAATAAAAAACATATAAAAATATTTTTTCATTTAATCCACTACTTATGCTATTTTTTAACTACTGAGACCCTGACTCAAATTCTACCTGATGCTTTCACTCATTGGCTAGTGCTCTAAAAAGCATAGAAAATCAGAAACATTATCAGAACATTTAGACAGATGTTTGCTTATAGTTTGTGGCACCTTTTTTTTTTTTTTTTTTAACCACAGATGTCCTTTCTGTAGGCATAGCCCTGGCAATAGTGAGGACCTGGTTACTGTACAAAACTTTCACAAATTTTACAAGTGGAGAATTTATTCTTTCCATATGGGCCCAATTTTGCTTTTTTTTTTTTTTTAAAGTCAAACCTTTATTTTTGTTCAACTTTCTTCCAGCACATTCTGTGGTATACCCAGCACTACCCTTCTAGATGGCTAGAATTACAACAGAATCAAGTTTCTTTTTATACTTTCCAATCCTTCTGCTGACAGTTCCCCCAGCCACAGAAACAGAAACAGCCTGAAAAACATTAACACTATCTGTTTGTGCTAGGCATAGAACCCAAGCTTTGTGTGTATTAGGCAATTCAAATTTCACTTCCAACACCATCTTGTGTGTGTGTGGTGGGGAGTAACTGAGGTTTGAACTCAGGGCCTCATGTTAACTACGCAAGCACTGTACCACTTGAACCATGCCTCCAATACTATCACTTCATTTCTTGGCTGTACTCTTTCTCTCTCTGTTGTTTCATTGTGATATTATTTCCATATATCGATATAATGCACTTTGATCCAACTATGATACAACTTTGCTGAATTTTCATATTTGTCCACCAGTTCCCCCCTTTAATTACCCTTGTCTGTAAAAGTCATGTGGGTTCATCACTGGACGGGGACACTATATGCTTTTGCTAGATGTGTGTGCAGAGTTTGAATGGCAAAGGCACAGAAGCCAATCACCAGCAGAGTTTGAAAGAAACACTGTGATTAGTCAGTGGTGATTCACATCTGTTATATGCATGGTGATTTGTCTGAAGAGCAAATGGTAGGGTTCATGGTTTATACAGTATTAGATCATATGAGGGTAGCTAAAATTTGAGCCTCACTGTTGGGGAACTTGTGTTCTTTAAACTGTGAAAATGGATATTTATACATATTGAAGCTTGTGCAAAGCAAGGTCTGCCTGTGATAGTAAAGCTTAAAAAATTTTAGAGTTTATTATTATGTATTAAGATGAAAAACTCTAGAGTTTTTTAAAATACTTTTTTATTGTAAAAATAGTGTACAGAGGGGTTACAGTTACATGAGTAAGGTAATGAGTACATTTCCTTTTGAACATTGTTACCCCCTCCTTTGTTTTTCCCCTACCATCCCTTCCCTCCCCACCTCCCCAATTCCTCCCTCCTTTCCCCCGCCAAGTTGTAAAGTTCATTTTCAACATAGTGTCTTGTATATGGCATTGTTACAATGGGTCAACCTGTATTCCTATTTAAGCATTTTATATTAAGTGAAGAAGCCAGGCCCAGAGAAACATAGGTCCCATGGTTTCCCTTATTTGCAATAAGTAGTATATGTTGAGGACAAGCAGAAAAGGTAAAAAAATTATGTATATATGACCATATAAGATGATGTTAAGTGAAATGAATCCCAAGACAGGGTCATCAGTGGTTTTTTCTTTCTTGCTATTGTTTTTAATGTACTCATAATGTACTATGTGATTTTTTTGTTTCTTTTGTATGTTCTTCCTCCATGGTATAACCCGTTTTCACTGTATTTGATTCCAGTGCCCTGCATCTTATATATACACGTTTCTAATTTGGGGAGGGAAAGGGAAAAAACTCTAGAGTTTTTAAGCTGTGCCTTTTAGATCAGAATCCCACTGTCTGAATTTCTTCTAGGAAGATACACCTTGTGGATATCCCTATCACCAGTAACAACTGCTTCCCAAGTACTGGCACAGTGGTGTAATTTAGTGCCAATTCGACACTAAAAGGGACAGCACTTTGAGAATCATTGGGAACAAACAAACAGGAACTCAATCATCTGCTCTCAATTTCGTCAACTACTGGATACAAAGGCCTGATACAGATACTAGCCTATGGGTTTTATGACATGGTATAACAGCAACTGAGGGCAAATCAGAGTCAGGACAAAGGTGGCTCTACTGGTCCATGGAAGCAGCACAGCATGGGAAGCGCATGGGACACCACAGAGGCTCCTGGCCATACAAAGCCAGCATGCATGGCTGGGCATTTAGCTCAGTTAGCCAGGGCAGTTAGCCCATGGCTTCTGTAGGGAGTACTTGATGTTCTATGCAGACCAAATTGCAAAGCACATTACCCAAAGGTTGAATGAGTAAAAACAAGGCAAACAGCACTGCTAAAAACAGAGCACTACAAACATTAGCAAATAAACAATGCCAGTCATAGAGAGCTAAGGATTAGCCATAGTGCCTATCCATAGTTCAGTCATGCCTACTTAATTCAAATTACAGTAGAATTTGGGAGTGAGTTATTACCATTAAGAGTAATAGAAGGAGGACTCACAATCTTGGGGATTCTGTAAGACTAATATCCCATCAAACACTTTTACCAACTTGGGAGGCAGAAGATTAGAGGGTGATGGTTTGAGACTAGCCCAAGCATAAAAGTTCATGAGACTTTTGTCTGTGTACAGTGGCACGTGCTTGCCATCTTAAGCTAAGGAAGCAAAATGGTTGGTTACCGTGGTATACAGCTGTTACCCCACAAACAAAATAACACAAATAGGAAGATTGCTGGCCCAGGCATAAAAAGTGCTTTTTTAGGGGTGGCGGGGGTGGGGGAGCTTGAAGTTAGGGTCTGGGCACTGTACCTGAGCCTCTCTGTGCTTGAGGCTAGTGCTCTACCACATGAGCCATAGTGCCACTTCCAGTTTTTGAGTGGTTAATTGAAGATAAGAGTCTAATGGGTTTTTCTGCCTGGGCTGGCTTTGAACCACCATTCTCAGAGCTCAGCCTCCTGAGTAGCTAGGATTACAGGTGTGAGCTACTGGCATCTGGCTAAAAGAGCTTTTCTCTTTAAAAAAAAACTAATACAAAAAAAGACGGGTGGTCTAATTCAAGTGGTAGTCTCTGCTTAGCAAGCATGAGGTCCTAAATTAAAAATACTGTCAACACCCCCCCCCAAAAAAACCAATTTAACACCAATAACAAACACAAAAACCAAACAAACAATAATTTAAAAAAAAACCTTGCATTATTGCAAAAAGTTTTGGTCTTTATTTTTCCTTTTTTTTTTTTTTTTTTTTGGCAGTACTTTGTTTTGTTTTGTTTTTGGTACTAGGGCTGAACTCAGAACATTGCACCTGCTAGGCAAGCACTATGCCACTGAGCAGTACTTTGAATTTTTAATTTATGGTCTTGTGCCTGCTTGGTAGAGACTCAATTGCTGAGCAACAGCTCTAGCGCTTTGTTATGGTAGCTCTTCTTGAGATAGTGTTTTACTTTTGCTGGGCACATCTGGACCATGATCTGCCCACTTTAAGCTTCCTATAGTTGCTAGGATGACAGGTCCCTGCCACTATGCCCAATTTCCCTTCATCGAGATAGAATCTTGTAGACTTTTCTGCTTGGGCTGGCCCAGCCCACAATTCTCTCAATTGTAGATGACCAAGTAGCTAGGATAACAGATATGAGTCACTGGCTCCTGGTTTATTTTTCATTTTTTAAAAATCAGCTGCTATTTGTTGCACAGGGTACTCTTTAACAGTCTGTGCCTTGCCCAGCCTGCCACATTCTGTCAGCCAGTTGGGCCCCCACTCACCTGGTGCAGGGATAAATACTGTCACTGGCTCACTGAAAGGCCCAATTCCCCCTTTGGTGATGGCTGCAATTCTCACTGTGCATGTGGCATTATAGACTTGAACAGAAATTTGAGCCTGGATGTCATTCTCACCAACTTCTTGAGAGAGCTCTTTCTGAGGACAGAAGAAAAATCAAATCAAATAAATCAAATTACTGATGCATAGGTTCCATTGCCTACTTGCCCAGTTACTCCAGGGAAAAGTCACCCATGCCCCTGGGGGTGGTCGCCATATTTCCTCAGGGCTCCTTCCTTACTCGAGCCTCACCCAGTGCAACTGGAAGGTGGGCTGCCAGCAACTAAGCCTTAGCAAACTAGGATCCTGAGGGCACAGGAGTTACAGTGGTCAGTAAAGAAGCTTCTAGAAGACAGAGATTACATATTGGATGCTTCCAGATGGCAAGGGCGAGGTTGAACCCTGAGACTCCCATCTGAACAACTTCTTCAGAACAATGCTGAAAGTCCCTCTGCACTCCCCAGTGGCCAGCTGCCCTTGAATGAATGCAACTGGGTTCTTGTTCTTTCTAGAAAAAATAATAGGCTCCATGGTTTCCCTCATTTGTAATAATTAGTATATGCCTAGGATAGTCCTAGCAGAGGATCATAATAGCTTAATAGCTATGTACATATGTCCATATAAAATGATGCTGAGTCAGGTCCTGGTGGTTCAAGCCTGCAATCCTAGCTACTCAGGAGGCTGATATCTGAGTATCGTGGTTCAAAGCAGGGCAGGAACATCCGTGAGACTCATCTCCACTGAGCCACCAGAAAACCAGAAGTGGCACTGTGGCTCAAGTGGTAGACGTTAGCTTTGAGCTGAAGAGCTGATGAGGGACAGCACCCAGGCCCAGAGTTCAAGCCCCATGACAGACAGACACACACATACCAAAGATGCTAATCAAAATTAACTCCATGCTCTAGAAAGAAGAGGTTTTTCTTTCTTTTTTTAGTATATTGTTTGCAGATATTTCATTTTTCTTTCATTTTCCCCGCTCTGGTTTATTCCCTGTGGTCACTGTTTTTTTTATTTCAGTACCCTTTTTCTTGTATATAAGCATATCTTATTTGGGGAAGGGAGGGGGAATCACAGAAATAGGACAAAGGATGAAACAATGCAACAACAATAATCACTAGACATTATGCTGGAAATGAACCTTACAACTTGGGGGAAAGTGGAGATAGGGGGAGGAGAAACATGAAATCATGTGAAGCACAGGTACCATAGAACATGGATAAACAGCAGAGGCCTACTTTAGTGATAACATTACTCCTTGCTCATTCGATCCCATACCTGTCACTTCTGCATATGATACAGGATAGAAACAGCTCGGCTCCAAGGATGGAGCAGTTCTAACATTCCTGACCCTGGGTTGGCTATCCAGAGACTATTTCAAACTCTAAAGAGAAAGTGATCAATGTCCTACACAAAACATGGAAGGTGAAATATGACCCTAAAAAATGTAGCCGTTCATACCCAATTGGATCCTGAGACCCTGAGATTTGTTAGTGATAATAAAATAATAATAATTATTATTATTAATATTATTAATTTTTTGGTGCTAGTCCCGGAGCTTGAACTCAGGCCTAGGTACTGTCCCTGAACTTTTTTGTTCAAGGTTAGAGTTCTGCCACGTGGGCCACAGCTGTACTTCTGGCTTTTTGGTGGTTAACTACAGATAAGATTTCACAGACTTTCCTGTTTGGGCTGGCTTTGAACCTTCATCCTCAGATCTCAGACTCCTGAGTAGCAAGTATTAGAGATATGTGCCACCAGCACCTGGCCTTTGCTAGTGATTTTTTTTTAAGTGGAAAAAATGAAATGAAGTTAAAAACTTGGGAGACATATCCTGGCAATATCTTTTCTAGAAATAAAGCATTTTATTTATGGCTAACACCTTGTGATGAGTTAGTCATACTGTATTTAATTTGAGGTAGACAGAAAATCATAAGGTAGGCTAACTTGATAGTGCACACCACTGGTCATGACCATACCCCGTTATGACTCACGTCTGTCGCTAAGATAAATAACATGCCAGTTTCACAATTTACTGCCTGATAGCTCCTCAAGTTCAAGATTTTCTGACTGACAAGGAACACTGGACTTTCTGTATTTACATACCAATTTATTCCTATAAAGACTCAAATATAATACATCATTTATGAGGGAAATCATCTCAAAATAAGATGAACTTCAAATTTGGAAAAGAATTACATGGCTAGATGAGCAAAAATCCTAACAAAAACAAAATTATTCATTTGGAAATAAAAACTACATTGTTCCCGCAGTATCTGTGTAGGAATGGTTCTAGGACTACGCCCTTGGATACCAGAATCTATGCAAAGTCCTCTGCAGAAACCGCTGTGGGGTTGGGACGAAGCCCAGTGGCAATGCACGTGACAGCATATGTGAGGCCCCAGTTCAGTCCTCAGCAACTCCCCCAACACACAAACACAGTATCTAACTCATCTTTTCATTACTTATAATAACACAATGCAAGTAGTTGTTACATTGTTTATAAATGTTTATATTATAGTTTTCTATATAATGCAATGGTTTTCTGGTGCTGCGGATCCAAACCAGTGCCTTCCCATGCTAAGCACATACTCTACCACTGAGTAACATACTCATCCTTGAGAAAAGAATTTTTTACATGTTCAGTATAAACAAAATTTTCTTAATTTTTTTCTTCTTTCTTTTTCTTTGTTTGTGGTACTGGGGATTAATATAAGATCTCACACTTACGCAACATCTCTAGTCATTTTGTTGGTATTTCTTTTAAATTTATTTAATTAGTTTATTTTACTGATATCAATTAGTTGTATAATGGGGGTTCATGTGTGTGTGTGTGTGTGTGTGTGTGTGTGCGAGTGCGTGCAAACACATGTTTTCATGTGTGTGCAAATGCCAGTACTGGGGTATAAACTTAGGGCCTAGGTGCTACCTTAAGCTTTTTCACTACCACAGGCCCACTTCTGGCTTTTTGGTAGTTAACTGGAGATAACAGTCTCACAGACTTTCCTATCTGAGCTGAGACGCCCCAGCTTCCTGACTAGCTAGAATTACAGGCATGAACCACCAGCACCTGCTTTTTTTTATTTTTATTTTTTATTGTAAAGATACTATACAGAGGGTTACAGTTACATGAGTAAGGTAATGAGTACACTTCCTATTGAGCATTGTTACCCCCTCCATTGTTTTCCCCCTACCATCCCTTCCCTCCCTACCTTCCCTGGGGTTCTTTTTTTTTTTTTTTTGATTGTGATTAAGTGATTACATAATTTCCCGAATTTCACAGTATTGTGGAATAATGATACTCATTTAAAGTCACAAATTCATTCTAACTTTCCTGGAGCAAATTGTCTATCACAGTCTATAACATATAACGGTGTACACATATACCCCATACATGTGATCAGCAGCATGGGGATATTTAGTAGTGGTTCGACCAGATGAGTGGGAGTTCTTTGTTTCTTAAGTCCTGTTAGTTTTGTCGTATCACCTAACATTTTGGATTTAGCATCCACTTATCAGGGAGACCATGTACTGTTTGTCTCTTTGCTCTTGGCTTACCTCGCTCAACATGATTCCTTCTAGCTCCATCCATTTCCCTGCAAATGCCATTATTTTGTCATTTCTAATGGCTGCATAATATTCAATTGTGTATAGATATCACAATTTTTGGATCCATTCATCTGTGGTGGGGCATCTGGGTTGTTTCCATATCCTAGCTATTGTGAAAAGCAGCACCTGCTTTTGAAAATTCTCTTTTCCACATGTTCTACATGAGTTTCTCTGAACCATCTGGCACAGTGTAAACAATCAACCAGTGTTCCTTGACTGTGTTCAACAATGTGCTACAGTTTGGGTTTCCTCCACTTAATTTGTCCTTCTTACAGACTCACTTTGCAATATATTTCAGGTCTAAGTACGTAAGAAAAAAATCATCAGGCCATCTAATGAACAAATCAAAAGTTTATTTGACTCCTTCATGGAAAATACCTCCATTGCATGTATCCTCTTTCATCAATACTTAGATTTCAGAAGAGGTTTGGATTGCTGAATGGCCTGTCTCAAAAGAACGTTAACTATCCCTCATGCCTTAAATGATACCTGCTAGAATACCCTGCTCTCCTCTGAGGGAAAGATGAGAAAAAGAAGAGACAGTGAGTGTAAGTCAACATGTGGGTGCAGCCCTTCCATACTGGCGGCCATTGGCAAGCTCATTAGCAGGTAGAAGTTGAAGTCTGAGGAACCCTTCAGTACAGTTCAGCTTCCCTGGGTGTTAAAAAGTTGTTCTACGTCACTTGTGGGGTTGTGGGGGATCAAACCCAGGGATTCATGCTTTCTAGGCAAACATTTACCACTGAGCTATATTCTCAGCCTGATAGACTGCTTCAAGGCTATAATAACCTCTGCCATGAGAGGTCTTTCTAAAATCTGTATTCTTTACAAACACATATTGAACCATATTCATCTTTAGAGCCATAATCTTAAAAGAATGGCATCAAAAACCACATATATATAAACTCAATCCCCATCTAAAGGTTGAGTAATTGAAGGTGAAGATGTATTTACTATAGAACATTTCAGGGCCTTCAACTGGCCAGTGTATGCTATAGGTCTTCAAGAAAGGAATTTAATATGAAATACTTTATAAATTTATTTGCTCATTGAACTTTTTTTCATAGAAAGTCCATTGATACTTTATGGGAATGGGGTTGGGGTTGAAAACTCTAGCTCCATTTATCAAAAGACTATTCCAATCACGATTAGAAACTTTACAGCTAGTTTATATGGCATAGCTGGGCCAATCAATATCTGAATCCACAGAGTTACAAATGCCTATGAAGCAAATTCAAGGCTCCAACTTCAAAGAGAACCAATTTGCATGTTTTCCTCAACTCTGGAGTTTTAGTTCTATTTTGTAAGGCAAGGTATATCAAGAAAAACAGAGCTGGAGATGTGGCTTAAATGACAGAACACCAGCCTAGCAACTGTGGGGCATTAAACTCAAAACCCCACAAGGCCACAAAAAAAGCATAAATCTTCCTTAAGATAAAAAAGGTGTTTATACATCAAAGATCAGACAATTCTTAATAAGTAGCACAATAGTGAGATAACAAAGGCACACACTCATTTTTAGTGCAACTGCAAAAACCACCCAAAGACCACTTCCAAGAAAGTTATGAAATTGTGTACTCACACACATATACACACACTCATATTATAGCTACAAATGGAAATTTTCAAAATTATTCAATTCCCCAGCCTTGAATAAAGAAGTAGTTTTAGTAATGTTTTCTAAAAACAGAAAGAAAAAACAGTGTTTTGGGAGGATGTGTGTGTGTGTGTGTGTGTGAGTGTGTGTGTGTGTGTGTGTGTTGGTATTGGGACTTGAACTCAGGGCCTGGGAGCTGTCCCTGAGCTTTTTTTTCTCTTAAGGCTAGTGCACTACCACTTGAGCCACACCTTCACTTCTGGCTTTTTGGTGGTTACCTGGAGATTAAGAGACTCACAAACTTGAACCAGATCCTCAGTTCTCAGCCTCTGAGTAGCTAGGATTACAAGTATAAAGCCTGGCTCAGAAGTGCAAGGCAAAGAAAGCTCTGGAACTTAAAATGATAGAGGCTGAGACCATTGCTCACTTGACTTTGGTGTGGGTTTGGGCCTCTCTCAGGCTCTTTCAGTGTTTTTATCGCCTCCATGTGCAGATTGTGAACTAGAAGCATCACACAACATTCCCAAAGTAACACAAGGCACGCATCTTTTGTTGTCACAAAATCATCATGACACACAAAATCTAGAGTGAATACAAAGCTAACGGTCTCCTTGCTAGAATGACTTTGCATCTGCAAGGAGGAAGGTGACTGGAGAGATCACAGTCCTAACTGCTCATGCAGTCTTCCCTGAGGAAGAGGCCATTCTGAACAAAGAGCAAAAAGAAGAGCAGCACAGCTGAGTGTTACTGGCCTGTAGTTTACTGGACTCTTGGGCCAGTCACTCTTACAGCTTTCACCATTAGTGCCCTCTGCACAACTTGGATCAAAGAGGATCCTTATGAAAACTGACTTTCTGAGTCAGTGCTAATGGCTCACGCCTGTAATCCTAGCTACGCAGGAGGCTGAGATCTAAGAGTTGAGATTTGAAGCCAGCCTGGACAGCAAAGTCCTCAACTCTCTTCCTTACCCAGGTGGGAAGAGAAACTTTTGGAAGCTGCTCATTCAACTACACTCAAGACTCCATCCCTCAATGGCCTACCCTGTTTTGAACTGGCTTGCATTCCTACCATACCAGTAGTCTTTCAACTTTATGTGTCTCTCTGGGTTTGACTGAAGTCTCACCTAACTAGACCATTGCAAGGACACTATTAGTAAAGAAAACAGCCCTTCTATCACACAGAAATCTTACATTTTGGTTGCTATTGTGAGATGAAATTGGCACTCAGACTAGAATGCTCTTCTTGAATTAGAGGGGATCTTTCTACCTTGAAGTATAAAACAGGAGCTACCTGATATCCAGATGCACCCCAGTTCCACCTAGAACATAACTCATGTTCAAAATGAACCCTTTGATAATTGGTACATTCTTTCTTGTGTGTGTGCTGCTAAAGGGGCTTGAACTCAAGCCCTCATGCCCTTGGTTCAGTTATTTTCCCCCCTCACAGTAGGTGCTCTACCACTTGAACCATACCTTTATTTCTGGTTTTGTGATGATGAATTCTGAGGACTAATTCTGATAACTAATCAAAGTTTTTCTTATACTATGCCTGCTGAATGGTGCCTTCCCTAACTCTTCATAATAACATAAAAGCTTCTGGAATAGAGTGAAATCGTTAAGGAAATGACTAAGTATATTTTTAGGGTTCAGACTTACAGAGGTGCCCACATTCTGCCAGATGTGAGAGATCCGGTAGCCCATCAGTTCCCCATCCTGACGCTTAATTGGGGGCTTCATCCAGCTGACAGCCACTTTATTACTAGATTCATTCAGAAACACCGTGACATTTAAAGGTGCAGATGACGGAGCTACAACAAAGCAAAAAAGGGAAAAATGATGAGACACCCACATAGATTCATTCTCATCTTAGTTTTCCAGTGTTTAGTTTTCAACTGTCCTATGGAAAATGAAACCCAAACTATAGTAAATTCCCACCTCCTTTTCAATGATGGACCACTGAGATAACATAAGAGGTTTTTGTTGTTGTTTGTTTGTTTTTGTTGTTGTTTTTGTCGGTCATGGGGCTTAAACTCTGGGTCTGAGTGCTGTCCCTCAGATCTTCAGCGCAAGGCAAATGCTCTACCATTTGAGCCACAGTGCCACTTCCGGATTTCTGGTGGTTTATTGGAGATAGAGTTTCACAGCCTTTCCTGCTCAGGCTGGCTTTGAACTGCGATCCTCAGATCTCAGCCTCCTGAGTAGCTAGGATTACAGGCATGAGCCATTAGTGCCTGCTGGTTGGGTGGTTCTTGTGTGTACATTTGCCAGTCCTGGAACTTGAACTCAGGACTTGGGCACTGACCCCGGGCTTTTTTTTTTCTTTCTTTCTTTCCTTCATTTTGTTCAAGGCCAGTGCTCTACTACTTGAGCCACAGCTCCACTTCTGGCATTTTGATAATTAGAGATAAGTCTCAAAGACTTTCCTGCCCAGGTTGTCTTTGAAGTATGATGCTCAGATCTCTGCCTCCTGAGTAGCTAGAATTACAGGCCTGAGCCACTAGTGCCAGCATTATAGGAGTTTTGACACTGGATATTGAGGCCTTAAGATATGTTGTTAAGGGGCTGGGAAGGTGGCTCAGTGGTAGAGTGCTTGCCTTGCATGCATGAGGCCCTGGGTTTGATTCCTCAGCACCACATAAGCAGAAAAAACTAGAAGTGACACTGTGGCTCAGGTGGTAGAGTGCTAGCCTTGAGCTGAAGAGCTGAGGGACAGCGCTCAGAGTTCAGGCCCCATGACCAACCAAAAAAAAAAAAAAAAGATACCGTTGTGAAATGGACATACAAAGGACAAAAAGGCAGAGAAGGAGGAGGCTGGTGCTCCTGGATTCCTGAAGCAGCAAAGCTGACAGCTAAAACAGGGTCTTCTAGTAGATCCTGGAGAGGTGTGAAGTCAACAGGACTAATTGGACATTGGTTCTGTGACATTTGAGGTATGCAAGCAGGGACCACTGGTGAGCACAGAATGAGGCTGTCATTATGAAACTCAGAGTCAGATTACTGAACTAAACAGAAATAATCAATCTATACATTAAAATGTTTATACAGTCATCTTTCAGTATCTACACAAGACTGGTTTCAGAGACACCACAAAAATAGATCTCATGGATGTGGAAGTCCTCAAATAAAATGGTGCAATATTTGCATAGAACCTACCTACCTCTTTCCATGTGCTTTAAATCATCTTTGGATGAGTTAGAATACATGCTGTGAAGATAGTTGTTACACTGGATGGCAAGAAAAAAAATCTGTGCAGATGAAATATGTTTTTTCAAATATTTTTGATACTCAGTTGAATTTGAGGATACTGAGCCCATAAAATGGAGTGCCAACTGTGTGGTGTGTGTGTATAAAATATTTTAGGAAACAAGATCATTACTTCATCTTTTGGGAATGAGAATCTTGACTATATCTACTCAAACTGAAAACATTATGTTGTTTGACCAGCTTTTTGTTGTTGTTGCTCTACTTGTATTTTCTTTCTAGTGCGAGAGATTGAACTCAGGGCCTTGCACATACTAGGCAAGCTCTCTACCACTAAGCTATACATTCATTACTTAAGTACTTTATTTCTAAGAATTTAATCTATAGATGGAGATACAATTATTGTAGCATAATAGTGACAAAAAGGAATAAATGTAATGTCACAGCAATTATAAACGTTTCTACATTTCACAACAAAATACTTGCTACTCACCCACTGAAAAACTTAGGCATATTATGTGTATTAATATGAAAAAATCCAATAAGACAAGGAGAATTGCAGTATTAATCAGTTTAGAAATAAAAACAGTGTTTATAAAGAAAGAATAAAGATTAAATTATATATATTCCTGATATGTCTGAAACAAAAAAAATTAGAACGCACTTCATTTCTACTGACTCCAGAAAACGTAATCATGAGTTAACAGGAATATCATATAGCCCAAGGGTTACCTTTGGACTCAGACATACACTTTCAAATCTATTGTAGAATTCATGGATAAACATAGCTGACTCAGCAGGTCTCCAAATCTCTCTACTGTGACAGTAAGGAATTTAAGAGACATAAACTCAAAAGGAAAAAGGAAAAAAGAGTCAACAGATAAGGAGCAGTTTCAACCCTCTGCTGAGAGGCAGATGAAGGTCTGTTAATTCAGCAAGCTGATTCTCCCCCCAAAGAACCACTGGGAGGCTCAGAAGCTGAAGGCCAGGTACCAAAATGAGGACTAAAAGTGGGAAACCTGGTTGAATGTTTGGTTGTGAGGCAGCTGCCCTATGAGGACCCTCAATCAAATCTTCACACACCATGCAAGTTCTCCCTGAAATGTCTACAGGAGATGAGTACTTTGTTCTATGAGTTGAAAAACTAGCGATCTTAGGGCACCACTAGAACGTGAAGGCATAGTGAGAAGACAAAGCAAAGACTGGAGAAGTACAAGTCTGTACCCCAGTGAGGAGGATTCTGCCGCACCTCTCCACTCCCATCAGTCTGTTAGAACATCAGCACCCACATGTGTTCCTATTCCTGAGGCAGGGAGGCAGAAGACTTCTTTATATTCTTCCTATGTAAGGAAGGATTTATTCTTCCTATGTAAGGGAGGATTTACAGAATAGAGGAAAACCAATTTTGAAAGTTGGGGGAGTATCTGACTTAATTTACTGCCCAATCATGAGGCAGTGAAACTTACAGGCCCCACCCATGCTCAGAGATCCAATCAAATTGGGGTGCTACCTCAACTCACTCTTCAATGGGAGAAGACAGAAATCAGAAAAGTTATGTGTGGGAGGGACTTCATGAATGTCAGAGGTCAAGCATGTAAGATAGAGGGATGGGAAGAGCCAGAGCCAGAGTAGGCAGCTTGAGAAAGCTAGAGAAAGTCCAAACAATAATGAACAGAAAAGCTCATCCCCCAGAACTGGGAAAAATAGCCCAAGGAAAAGAAGTCAGGATTAGGCATGTAGCTCATAGTAGGGCATTCATATGCTTGGCCCAGTACCACAAAACAAACCTTTAAAATTAGCAATATGTTGAATAAAATAAACTATTTTATGGGAGACGTGGAAAATAAATCAAGTGAATCTCTAAGCAGGTACAATAAAAAAGGCAATTTGAGAAGAGGAAATTGAGGAAGCAACTGAAGAGGTCTAACACTTATCTAAAATAATTTTGGGAGGAAGAAACAAAACAAAATATTAGAGGAATAAATGTCGAAGGAAAAGTCTTTGGACCAAGGGACTTGCATGTCTAGATTAGCAGGGCCAATACCTATGAGAATGACTGAAATAAATGCACATCATAGCTTATCACAGAACTGAAATTAAAGAGAAAAGATCATTTAAAAGAACCAAAATTGAGCCAGGTGCTGCTGGCTCACTTCTGTAATGTACCTATGCAGAAGGCTGAGATCTGAGTATCTCAGTTTGAAGCCAGCCTGGGCAGAAAAGTCAATGAGACTCCTAACTCCAATTACTCACCCAAAATAGTTGGAAGTGGAACTGTGATTCTAGTGGTAGAATGCTAGCCTTGAGCAAAAAATAGTTCAGGACAGTACCCAGGCCCCGAGTTCAAGCCCCAGGACCAGCACAAGAAAGGAAAGAAGGAAGGAAGGAAGGAAGGAAGGAAGGAAGGAAGGAAGGAAGGAAGGAAGGAAGGAAGGAAGGAAGGAAGGAAGGAAGGAAGGAAGGAAGGAAGGAAACAATTTATATAGAAAAGTAGCACAAATTCTTGACAGCAACTCATGAAGCAAAAAATTAGCAGTATCTTTAATTTCTGAGGGAAAAGAATTTCCAACCCAAATTTAATATTTAGAAAAATGAATGCAATCCAGTATGAAATAAAGATATTCTCATTTTTAGTCTTTATTATTTCTTTGTTAGATTGGTCTATGTTGTCCAAGCTGCCCTCAAATTCCTGGGCTCAAGTTATCTTCCTGCTGTTACCTCCTGAGCGTTGGAACTACGGATACATGCCTGGCTGTATCTACTTTTTATACATACTTTCCTTGGAAGCTAACTGAGAATGAGTTCATTGAAAACAACAGAGTAAACCCAAAATGTAACCAGGTAAAACAACAGAGTCCCTAGAAACTGATTTTTTTTCTGAAGATTCTAGCCTTACATAAGCTAGGGTTAGTGCCAATTTCCACCACCCAATTGGAATAAACCTTTGATCCAAGGAGCATTGAGCAGAACATATTGAATGGTCTTGTTTCAGTATTGGGTAGCAACTGACCCTCGATGAAGCATTACTATAGTGGTGTGTTACAAATGTTAACAGTAAGACCTCAAAGGACTATACTGTGCACCACTAGCGGAACTGTGTCCCAGCCCTATTTATAGTGTTTACAATTGAGAATTATGTAGGAGTCAACTTTTACTGTTGAAGTTCATTTCAAATAAGAAAAGGAGATCATTAAACAACACAAACAACACAAAATCAATGGCCAGAAGTGTGGTACAGAGAATATCTACTGTGAGGTCCTGGGTTCAAAACCCCAGTACCACCAAAAAAGTGCTCAAAATCATTGTTAAGGGGAGAAACAAGAACAAAGAACAAAATACATATTTCCTATAGAAAATTATACAAGCAAGAAGATGGTGGAGAGACACTTTTAATGTACCAAAAGTTAGGAACAAATAACTATGAATCTGGAATTCTACATACAGTAAAAATATCTTTGAAAAAGATCTGTGGTTCATTCCTGTAATGCCACACAGTCAGAAAGTGGAGGGAGAAGGATTGTGGTCTAAAACCCATCTGAAGAAAAGCAGAAGACTCTATCTGAGAAAAAAAGAAAAAGGATTGTCAGAGTGGCTAAGGTAGTAGAGTGCTTTCCTAGTAAATTGTGAGTTCTTTAGTTCAATCCTCAATACCACTAGTAATCAATCAATCAATGAATGAATCAATCAATCAATACCAAGTGAGGATATAGCTCAGTGTACAAATGAATGCTTAGCATGCATAAAACCCTGGGTTTAGTCATGAATGTGCATGTGTGTTGTACATGTACACACATTCACAGGCCAAAAGTAAAATAAATATTTACTTCAAAGGCAAAATAAATATTCCTCCTTCCCTAGATATCCAGAAGCTAAATTTCCCACTAGCAGATCCCTACCATAAAAAATAATTAAGTGTCCCCTAAGAAGAAGCAAAATTATACCAAATGAAACACGGAGCTACGTGAAAAAACAAATATTACCAGAAATGGCAGTCTACATGGGTAAATGTATGTTTTGTTTACTGACCAAATAAAATAATAACACATTACACATTTATAACATTCTTTAAAATGATATGTATGCCATCAACCTGAAAAATACCACAAGGAAGAAAATAGAATTCTATACTATGGTGATGTTTGTATTTGTGCAGTGATATAAATTACTTGAAAGTAAACTGATATGTTTGTTGCAAATTGTAAGGCAACAAAAACAACAAGGAAATTGTGATATCTAATAAGCCAATGAAGATGACAAAAGAGGACCATAAAGACATTTGATTAGCCCAGAAGAAGGAAGGAACAAATGACTGTTGGAACAACAGAAAACACAATGGATTTCAATCTACCCATTTGTACAATAACCTGGCATTTTAATGGACTAAATACTCCAATTTAAAGGTAAAGACTGTAAATGGAATGAAAAGTAATATAGGAGCTAGGGTACAACTCAGTGGTAGAGCATGTGCTTAGCATGAGGCCTTGAGTTCAATCTCTAGCATCTCTCCCTCATAAAATGTGTGTGTGTGTGTGTGTATGTGTGCGCGCGTGTGCGTGAAGTCTGAAGTGCTGACTATCCAGAGATAGAAAAAGGGAAGGAAGGAGCCTATATAAACAGCTAGTGTCCTGCACTGGAAATAAACAGAAGCTAGGTAATCCGAAGTTAATGCCTACAGAAAACAGTTCAAGTCGCTAAAAAAAGGATTTTATTTATTTATTTTTGTCAGTCGTGGGTCCTAAACTCTGGGCCTGGGCGCTGTCCCTCAGCTCTTCAGCTCAAGGCTAGCGCTCTACCACTTGAGCCACAGTGTCACTTCCAGCTTTTTTCTTTTTGCTTATGTGGTGCTGAGGAATCGAACCCAGGGCCTCATGCATACAAGGCAAGCGCTCTACCACTGAGCCACCTTCCCAGCCCCTAAAAAAAGTATTATTTTTAAAGCTGTGAAATCAAAAGCAACATATAGAAAAGTCTTTCAAGTTTAAAGACATAAACAAATTTTTCACTGAGTAATATGATAAAGAGCTAATAGTACTACTACAATGTGTCTGTTTCATAGTGGGTACTCATTGACTGTTAGCTATGCTTATATCATTTGTTTTCTTGAGTAATAACTTTTTTTGTTGGTGGTATTCATGGGGCTTGAACTCAGGACCTGGGCATTGTCTCTGAGCTTCTTTACTCAAGGCTAGCACTCTACCACTTTGAGCCACAATGCCACTTCCAGTTTTCTAGTGGTTAATTGGAAATAAGAGTCTCATGGACTTTGCTACCTGGACTGGCTTCTAATTGTGATCCTCAGATGTCAGCCTCCTGAGTAGCTAGGATTACAGGCATGAGCTACCAGTGCCTGGCTATCAGTAGTAACTTTTATGCATGATTTTGTTAACTAAAAATAATATTGTTTTAAAAATTGTGTTACTATCTTCTTATATAAAAGAAAATGCTAGCCAGGCACTCATGGTTCATGCCTGTAATCCTAGCTCCTCAGGAGGCTGACATCTCAGGATTGTAGTTCAAAGCCAGTCTGGGCAGGAAAGTCTTTGAGACTCTATCTCCAACTAATCACAGAAAAAGCAGAAAGTGGTACTGTAGCTCAACTGGTAGAGTGCTAGCTGTGAGCAAAAGGAGATTAAGGACAGTGCCCAGGGCCCAGAGTTCAAGGACTAGGACTGGCAAAAAAAAAAAAAAGAAAGAAAGAAAGCGGGGGGAGTGAGGGAGTGAGAGAGAAAGAGAGAGAGAGAGAGAGGGAGAGGGAGGGAGGGAGGGAGGGAGGGAGGGAGGGAGGGAGGAAGGAAGGAAGGAAGGAAGGAAGGAAGGAAGGAAGGAAGGAAGGAAGACAATGCTACCTTTATATAGCATATATAAGTTTTTAGTGGTACTGAAGTTTGAATTCACGTACTCTACCACTTGAGCCACATCTCCAACCCTATTTGCATTGGTTATGTCCAAGCCAGCCTAGACTTTGATCCTCATATTTGTGCTTCCTTGTATGACTAGGATGACAGTTTGGGATGACAGATGTGTGCTTCTGCATTCAGCCTCTCTGCTTTTCCCATAGTTTAGAATCATAAGCAGATACCACCATCCGATCTATTGGTTGAAATCAAGTCTTGTGAACATTTTCATTTTATTTTATTTTATTGCTAGGGCTGGCTTTGAACCAAGAGCCTCTGATCTCTGACTCTCAAGTAACTGAATTATAGGCTTGAGCCACTGAACTATATCAGTACTAAATTTTTTTTTTTATTGGTTATGGGCATGAACTCTGTGTTTGTTTTTTTGTTGGTCATGGGGCTTGAACTATGGGCCTCGGTGCTGTCCCTCAGCTCTTCAGCTCAAGGCTAGCGCTCTACCACTTGAGCCACAGCACCACTTCCAGTTTTCTGATGGTTAATTGGAGATAAGGAAAGTCTCACAGACTTTCCTTCCTGGGCTGACTTTGAACTGCGATCCTCAGATCTCAGCCTACTGAGTAGCTAGGATGTCAGGCATGAGCCACCAGTGCCCAGCAGCTAAATCTTTTTAAATTACCAATATCTTCCTATTTTATTGGCCACATCAATATAATGTACCTCCAGACATGAAGTCCAAATAAGCAAAGTGAACACATCAAATCAGGTTACTGGAAAGCTTTGTTTGAGCCTATGCCATTGGAGGGGACACTTATCGTGGACCTCAGGAATTACCTCCTTCAGTTGTGCTGGCAGGAATCCAAGGGCTCACTGCAGACCAGCCTATTTCATTCATACAGGACATCCCAATGCTGTAGTTAGCCAGGGCCTGCAGCTGCTCGATGTGATACAGATGTGGTGAGGCTGAGGTGTTAAAAACCATGACTGAGCCATTACTCAGTGGATCTACTTCCTTCACCTAAATGAAGAGTGAAATGTAGGCCAGCATTAGTAAGGTGGTGGGAATGTCAGACACGGACACACAGTGTTTAGTTCCTCTGTAGCAGGGGAAGGACCTGCTTCCGGTCAGGATACACATGGTTTCTCACGGGTATTGCTGTGTGTTACTCATGGTACAGGGACAACCACAGTCTAGACTACAAGGGGTCTCATTGCAACAGGTAACGATCAAGAAATTATCATTACAATATTACATGTTTATAACCTGGTACTAGACAGTAAAGTAGCTTACAATTAAAGTGGCTCTAAAATAAAGTACTCAAAATAAAGTAGCCTTCTCTTAGGCCCACCACAATTCTGAGAATGATTCTTTTAATGTTTTATTTTGTTTGTACAGTAATTAGGATTGAACCCAGAGCCTGGTGCATGCTACACAAGTGCTCTACAATTCAGTTACATTTCAGTTCTCTCTCTCTCTTTTTTTAATCTTTATCTTGAGACAGGACTCAATAGCTAAGTTGCCCAGATGGGCCTCAGACTTGCAGTCTTCTTTGCCTCGGCCTCCTTAGTAGCGTGGCTTACAGATGTGCCTGGAATACAAGCCACTGTCTCCAGCAAAACTCTGCTCTTCCCATTACCTAACCTCCGGGTCATGCTCTTGCCTTGGGGCTAGTTTTAGTAGTGTGTACTGTATCTTTACTGCTCCCTGCTGCCCTAGGAATTCAACACAAAAGCATGCATAGATAGCGTACATTTTATGGTATTTAGGTACAATGGGAAGAAACAGGAAAGGGTCGTTCATATCTCACCTAGCAAACCTGTCTCCAGATTTCCTTTAAACATGTATTTCCTCTTCTTTCCCTCCATGACTCGCCCCACACCTCCCTCCAAATCTGTTTGTCTAGCATGAGAGAAATTCTTGGCAAAACAGGTTTCCCACTACATGTGCGTCCCCCCAAAAAAAATTCAACAATGAGGACTCAAGCATTGATGGCTCACACCTATAATCCTAGCTTCTCAGGAAACTGAGATCTGAGAATTATAGTTTGAAGCCAGCTTAGGCAGTTAAGTCTATGAGACTCTTATCTCCAATTAACCATCAAAAAGCCAGAAGTGGATCTGTAGCTCAAGTGGGAATGCTACCCTTGATTGAAAAAGTTGAAGGACAGCACCCTGACCTAGAATTCAAGCCCTAGACTGCCATCCCCCCGCAAAATCATAGGAGGTAGAATAATATTAGGTAAAATAGAAGAAACCCAAAGCAATCATCAACCCACAAAATAAAGTTCTCTTAATAATTATGAGGATGCATTTAGGGATGTGGATATCCATTGTTGCTATTTTGAGATGTATGTTTGAAATTTAGAGCAAGAGGCCATAAATAAATATTTTAGAATCCCAATCTCCTGGAAATACCATGATGATGGTTGTAAGGACTGAGTCCCACCTCTGACTCAGACCCTGTGGGTGACAGGAAGGTACCAGTTGGTCCTGAGAAGCCATCTGAGGAGAAATAAAGGTCATGTGCTTATCTCGGGGGTGGCTGTTGGCAGAAGTGACTTTTTGTTCTTTCACACTGGAGTATGCAACTACTTCCTGGTGACAAACCACTAAAACTAAGGAGGAAGGTGTTGGCTCTCTGCCTCCATTCCATTTCCAGAGCCATACCCAGGGCATTTCCAGGCACAGTGACACTTTTTGACAGTATGTTCCTAGAAGAAGGGGTTTCCATATTGGTCCTTCTCTGTGGACCCCAGGGAAGAAGGGGGCATGAAATGGCAAGAAGTACATGGCAAGTTAAAAATAGAAATGGAATCTGGGACCCAAAAATGGGTGAAAAAAAGGAACTAACATCAGGACCAAAGGAAACGAGAGGGTGTGTCCTGCTAGTACATGGGCCTGAATCTCATCCAAAACATTCATTTGTTACCCAGTCAGAGTTTAAAATTGTAATGAACGGCAAAACCATTCTTGGTTCCTTCAGGAGTGGGAAGACACAATCAACAGAATATAAAAATGTAACTTCTAAAAACCATGGAAACTAACCCCAGCAGGACTGTTGAGAAAATAAAGGATGCTGAACTGCATATGAATTTGAGATCAATAGCATAAAGTTTCAGTGTGAATAAAGCACAAGATCGCTTGTGGAATTTAGCAGGATGTCCTGTATTCATATTTGCTAAGCTAGTAATCCTACCAGAAATGGAAAGGAGGATGGGTGTGGGCAGGCAGGGCTAGCTGGTGGGGCAGGGACTGAATAATCCCATCCACCACAGATCCAAAGTGGGCAGCAGAAGCCTCTGATTTGGCGGTCCAAGATGATAATTTATCTCAGGTGCCAAAGCACAGCCACTGAAGCTGAAGCTTAATTTTATTTATTTAGATTTTTCAACTCAGGACTTGAGTGCTTTTTTCTTTAGCTTTTTAAAAAAAAATTTTTTTTTAACCAGTCCTGGGGCTTGAATTCTGAGCCTGGGCACTGTCCCTGAGCTCCTTTTGTTCAAGGTAAGTGCTCTATCACTTGAGCTACAACGCCACTTCTGGCTTTTTTGAGTGGTTTACTGGAGATAAAGAGTCCCACAGAATTTCCTGCCTGGGCTGGCTTTGAAAAGCAATCCTCAGATCTGGGCCTCCAGAGTAGCTAGGATTACAGATGTGAGCCACTGGCGCCTGGCTTCTTTAGTCTTTCTACCGAAGGCTCTCCCTCTTAAGCCACAGCTCCACTTCCAGCTTTTTGGCGGTTAAATGGAGATACAAGCCTCACAGACTTTCCTGCCTGGACTGGCTCTGAACTATAATCCTCAGATCACAGCCTCCTGAGTAGCTGGTGGCATGAGCCATCAGTGCCTGGCCAGCTAATATGTGAGCATCTTTCACCTTCCAGGTCTACTCTCTCAAAATGGCAGTGCTGGTGATATTTTTCCTCAATCTTCCTGAAGTTATCTACTCCCCATGAGAAGGACGCTGAGTGCCCTGCCCCTTAGACTCTTGGAAGAGTTCAGCACTTGGTAAAAGTTTTAAGAAAGGCTGGCTCATTATGTTCAGATACAAAAGACTACTTCCAAGCCTGGTTGTTCCTAGCTACAGAGCTCTGAATTGGCATGTAACAAGACCTAAAAGATATTGATCGGTTATAATGTGATACTATGTGACATAACGACTAATTTGTTGTATACCCAACAAATTAGATCACTTAGATGAAATGATCAAAGTCCTAGAAACACACAAACTACCATATAATAAATAAATATTAAACTAAAACCCTATAAAGAAAAGCCTAGGACAGAATGGTTTCACTGATACATCCATAACTTCCTCAAAGAAGCAGAAGGACCTTTGGCATCAGCACATGATGCCAAAGAAAAAGCTGTAGGAAGAAAACGACACATCAGTATCTCTTATAAATATAGACAAAATCAGATGATGATGGTTGTGAAGAGTTGAAGTAACTCCATTTTGAAGCAGCGGCCATTCTGTCATTTATGTTAAAATTATGAGTGACCCAGAGCAAACATAAATTCCAGGAACTAACCTGTCTGTGTTGAAGTTAACCAGAGCTCATATAAATCCCAAGGACAGAGTTTTCTGTGGCCACAAACTCCCCTCACTTCACAGATACCCCCTGCCCTTTATTGCCCTGGCCCAAATGATCTGATAACCCCCTATAACCCTTATCGCCCTAGAATGTCCTGTTAACACATCTGGTTGCTGTAACTTTGTGGTTGTTGCCTTTATAAGCCCTGTGAAATTTCAGTTCAGGGCTTCCTCCTAAGCTCCACTGAGTCGGTGTGTTGTTGTTTTGTTTTAAGACAGTATCCCTGGTAAGGAATTGTAGAGATAGGAAGAGTTCCTAAATCTTACTTGGGAGATTGGAGTTCTTGGGAGGTTTGTAAGCAGTGTTGGGTAATAATTAAGCAAGGCTGGGTGGGGGTGGTAGGGTGAGGGTAAAGGCTATTTTGGGGATAATACATGTTTTTATTCCTCAGAGAAGGAACAGCTGCTAGATAAAGAGTAGGAGGCACCAAGGGCAGAGAAATTCATTCTAGTTGGTATTAAAAACATCTTGTCAACACAAAATTCTTTGGAAGTCACTTCTCTTAAGTCAATTTTGACATGACTGGCCTGTACTGAGTTATCATTTTAATGAATAAGACTAAGATACTGGAGAAACTAATAATTCTTATCCCTGCCATGTGATTAAGTACAAGGCAGAACACATTTGCATTGTCCTTGGATGATCTCTGGGTGTTTAGAAACCCACTTCTATACAACATGTCTCTCCTGACTATACAGCAAGCCAGTTGTGCTCAGCTCTACTGTTGGCATCAGATCTTCCTCAGTTTGAACTGCAGGCCTGCTGCTCACAGGCTGAGTGAGCTCTCTGAGCCTGTGGGGCTGGTGTGTCCTAAGTAAGATAACATAGGCAATATCCCTGGACCTTGAGGACACTCATTCAACAGTAGTATTAGTGCTTTGATGAAATAGGAGAACAGATCTCACATCATGACAGGGATTATTTTAGGCTGACTAACCTATAGTTATTTCACCACTGTTTCATACCAATTTAGGTAGTTGTTAGGAAGGGCTAAAGAACCTACAGGCTTAAAATCTCCAGGTTTCTGGCTAATGTGCCACATTTACTGTCACAGGTGACTTATGTCTTGAATGAAGAGCCACACTAGGGAGCCCCTGGCCTTCCGAACTCCTAGTTAAAATTTAGGGAGATGTTTTTGTGATTACCAATTACTTCTCCCTGGTCTCCTGATATTCTCCCTTGGAAACATGCTTCTCTTCTAGCTGAGTCCCGGACCAGGCATAGGAGGAAGCAACATTGTAGACAAAGCACCATGAGGCAGGGCAGGATGGTAGATGATGCCTGGGGAGAACAAGGGATTCTGGACAAAAGTGGAGGTGGAGACATCTACTCAGGGCTGACCTGGGAAGGAAAGAAAACCAGGGAGCTCCATCAAGAACCAACCCACAACTTCCCTCTACATCCTGGAGGATTACCTGAATGCTGCAGTTCTTAAATGGAGAGTAGCCATCAAACCCCGGGACCCAGGAGATCAGAATGCTATGTGCTGTACTGTTGTGGATGAAGACTTCAGTTGGTGGAGAGGGAATTGCTAGATAAAAACAAACACACATGCTTAAATCAAGAGAGGCCACAGCTACCAAATGGTCATATTAACACAATATACTCTGAGATTAGCAAAAGGAAGGACACACCTTCAAGAGGACCACTTAGGCTTGGGGGTAATTAGCCTGTGAGCAGACTTTCAGCAATGGCATGGTCCTGCTTGGACCTGAGAAGTGGAACACAGATCCACTTTTCTGCTTTCTGATGAAGTGAGGAGACCTTTTAACTAGAAAAGAACATGGAGATACCCATGTCCTTCACTCAGTAAGCATTCTTGACGCTTCTGTGAGGGCACAAGGGCAGTGATGAACAGCTTCACTCTGCCCTTGTAGAGAGCAGGAGACTCAGTTACCACAGATAAGATTTCATCCTGTGCCCAAAAGAGTCATGTCACTGGGGCGTGTGTGTGTGTGTGTGTGTGTGTGTGTGTGTGTGTGTGTGTGTGTGTGTGTGTGTGTGTGTGTGTGTGTGTGTGTGTGTGTGTGTGTGTGTGTGTGTGTGTGTGACTTGCCAAGCCTAGAAGACATGTGAGTCAGTTAAAGCAAAAGCCAATTGCATCTGCTGGGAAAGGTGTATATAGTATATAGTATAACGACTGTGCAATGCCTTTAGGCACATGTGGGACAAAGACTTCTCCATCAGTTAGAATACAAGAATGCGCTGCATTGGGAAAATCTTACCTCTTTGTACTAAGTTTAATTACTCATAATAATTATCATAGGAAATGATGGCAAACATTTTCTGGGCTTACTGTGTGCCAGGTACTTCATGGACTTTCTTCATTTGAATATTACTTGGACCTTACTGGACAGTCTTACAATCCCTCCTAACATATGAGGGAAGTGAACAGGAAAGTTAAAAGTGTGTCAAAGATCATAGAGAGATGCTGGGTGCCAGTGACTCATGCCTGTAATCATAGTTACTCAGGAAGATGAGATCTGAGGATTGCAGTTCAAAGCCAGCCCAGGCAGGACAGTCCATGAGACTCTTATCTCTAATAAAATATTTAAAAAGCCGAAAGTGGAGCTGTGGATCAAGTGGCAGAGTACTTGCCTTGAGCACAAGAAGCTCAAGGCTAGTGGTCATGCCATAAATTCAAGCCCTAAGACCAGCACAAAGAAAAAGAAGAAAGAAGGAAAGATGGAAGGAAGGAAGGAAGGAAGGAGAGAAAGAAAGAAAAAGACAAGACAGGTGGACAGAAAGAAAGAAAGAAAGGAAGAAAGAAAGGAAGGAAGGAAGGAAGGAAGGAAGGAAGGAAGGAAGGAAGGAAGGAAGGAAGGAAGGAAGGAAGGAAGGAAGGAAGGAAGAAAGGAAAGAGAAAGACAAGAAGGAAGGAAGAAAGAAAGGAAGGAAGACAGGTTATAAACAGTAGAACAGGAACTTGAGCCCAAGTCTGCCAGGCCTCTAGGACATTGGTGGTCCACACGAAGGACAGCAAGCTGATTGTTAAGAGCACCTGTGAGGACCTGAGAGGCGGATTTACCATGGAACCAGCTGTAGGTCCCTGGGCACAGTTCCATGCCTGTCTGATCAGTTCTCTCCTTTACAAAGGGAGGATAGGCGTAGTACTGCTTTGTGGGCCTGTGGTGGGAATGAGGTAATACATGCAGCCAGGTGTGGTGAAGTGCTGATGGAGAGAATGAGGTAAGGGGAGAAAGGAGCTGGGACTACATTAAGCACATACTGGATCCCATGTTGAGGAGTGTGATTTTGTGAGTATACTTGCAGTCAATGTATTGTTCCACTCAGTTTCCTAGGCAGATTATTTGTAGAACCTCCCTAAAGAATCTGCCTTTTCCATATCAAAACTGGGCTACACAAGTCACAATAATAACAGTGTAGATGAGGGGAATCTTGGTTGCTCTGATAGAAAATTTAAAATAAACAAAAGCTGAAAACAAGTTTTAGAAGCAGGATTTTAAATATGTGTGTGAAATATAAAATCAAATGCTTCTCATTTTATACATTTTTAAATTTTAAGAAGTTTATTATGTTCTAGGAAAAAGGATTTTACAAATTTGTACCCACTCAGTAATTTCTGAAATTCCTAACATATCTTTTCAAATTGTAATAATGAGATTTGTAAAAGAGGAAGGAAGTTATATACTTCCTCTAGTATTCACTTTTGGTTTTTCATTTTAAAAAAATTCCAGTGAACGTTTAGAAAATACTCTGTTAGCCAGGCACTAGTGATTCATACCTGTAACACTTGCTACTCAGCCTGGACAGAAAAGTCCATGAGATTCCATTTCCAATTAAATGATGCAAAGTTGGACTGGAAGCATGGCTCAAATGGTACAACATCAATACAGTGAGCAAGCCAAGCAAGTCAACAGCCCTGAGTTCAAACTCTAATACTGGCCAAAAGGGAAAAGAAAACAAAGGAAAATATCCCTGCACAATCTTTCGGTGGGGGAGGCAGTCCTGGGGCTTGAACTCAGGGCTTGGGCACTCCCTGAGTTTCTTTTGCTCAAGGCTAGCATTCTACCACTCGAGCCACAGTGCCACCCCCAGCCTTTTCTGTTTATGTGGTACTGAGGTATAGAACCCAGGATTTCATGCATGCTCAGCAAGCATTTTACCACTAAACCACATCCCCAGCCCCTTTCATCATCTTTAACAGGTTGAATCCTGAAACCAAAAAAATCAGCTCCTTCTTTAATTATATTCATAGTTTTTAATCTTATTCTGTCTCTCCCCAGTCTTTATTATTTTTTAAAATACTTTATTATCTTCAAGTAGTTGCACAGAGGCCTAGCTTCTGACCATTATTAAGTATGCATTGTTGGCCTCTCCAAGGATAAGAGGGAGAAAATATGAACCCAATATTTACTTCTCAATACCTAAATTAGTATCAAATAGTAACACATACAATGTGTTTGAATTTCTCTGAAAACAAGCAAGATAACCTTCAAAGAGATAAGACAGTATTTACTTGCAGGTTTTCCTTTTCTTTAAACTTTTGGGTGTCAATACCTTTGATTACATAGTAGGAACAATGGCAAGGTAGATGCATAAGAGCATCTTCAATAGCCTCGGGGAGCATGGCCTTTGATTTTATTACTATAATTCAGGCCAAGCAAGCTTAGCCCTAGTGAAATCCAAGCTCAGGGAGAACAAGAAAGAGAGGATATAGGGGAAAGATGGTCAGGGCTACTTCTCTCCCCAAAAGAGCAAATCTGCCCATCTCTCTGCTCCCAGATCCCCACCCCCACCCCCTCTAAGTCAACAGTTGACAGAGACTTGCATGAGACCCTGGTGACTCAGGGACAGAGCACATTCCCAAGATCGAGCTCTAAGTGACTCCATCCTCAGAGCTCTTCAAAGGGTGAATGATAGGCACAAATGATCAAAAGCAAGCATAAAAAGTTTATTTTCTTCCTGGACTAAGCAGTACTAAACTGGCTAATATGTATCAAAGACTTAAAAAGTCATGCACTGTTGTGAGGTGTTTTTTGTTTTTGTTTTGTTAATTCTCATGAAGTCTCAGCAATAATTGTCTCCAGTTTTCAAACACTGAAACCCAACAGATAAAGGGACGTGTTCAAGGTCACAAAGAAAGCAGTAGAAAAGCCTGGACTAAGGTAAGCACTCATTGTGTCCTCCACCCCCAGAACACACCTGGGACACAGCCTTGTTGCTTACCTTTGATGTTGACCTGCACGCCTTTAGACACAGTCAGCCCTTTATCATTGTGGGCCTCACAACTGAAGACAGCCATCTCGGTCAGACCTGGAGTAGAAGGACATTCGTGAGACCCACAGAAAAGAAACAGGCTGCTTTCTAACCAGAAGCCTGTGGGTTATCCTTCTTTAACTTCTTAGTTCATGGCTTCAGACCAAACATGTAAAGTTAATTTAAAAGATGTGCAAACACCTGGGGTGGACCATAGGTACCAAAATAAGGCAGCCTTGGGTTCAGAAGGCAGCTGCTTTCATTTGCTCAGATCCTAAAGGCTGACATATTAGGCAATAAAGCAGTATTGTTCACACTTAAGTTGCTATAAGCAGAAACAGGACCCACCAACCCCAACACCAAGAAAAGGAGCTGTCAGGCTCATCTAGTCATCTGTTGCCTGGACTCACAGTACATATCATGGCATTATGCTAAGACACTCTGAATATCAAAGATTTAAAAATTTTAGACAATCTGTTGAAATTGTTTTTCTTTTGGTACACTGAAATTTGAATTCAGAGCCTCATACTCATTTGATTTATGCTCCTTTACCATTTGAGTCACACCTCCAGGCCTGCTTTTGGTTGTTTTGGATATGGAGTCTCATGGACTTTTCTGCCTGAAATGGCATCAAATCTTGATCCTCTGGATCTCAACTTCCTGAGTAGCTAGGATTATAGGGCAGAGCCACCAGGACTTAGACCATGAATCTTTTTTTTGGCGGGGGGAGGAGGGGAGGCCGATCGTGGGACCTGAACTCTGGGCCTGGGCGCTGTCCCTCAGCATTTCAGCTCAAGGCTAGTGCTCTACAACTTGAGCCACAGCACCATTTCCGGCTTTTTTCTTTTTGCTTATGTGGTGCTGAGGAATCGAACCCAGGGCCTCATGCATGCAAGGCAAGTGCTCTACCACTGAGCCACCTTCCCAGCCCAGGAATCCTTTTTTAATAGTAAAAATCAATTGGTTCACAAGGAATTATTATATGACTAAAGCACTATACTAACTAAAAAAAAGATTGATTTTTAATCATTTGAGGTTTGAAAGCATTTTAGCAATAAGAATAAACAACATTCATTAATTTTAAATAGAAAAAATACCCAGTTCTTGGTTTCTAATATCATTCTCCAATAAAAATAACCATAGCTCCTTGGAGAAATGGAGAACTCTCACCAGAGCATAAATGATGTAAGATGAATGTGGAGTGAGGTATGGCACAAACATAGCACACAACAAACAGACACAGACAATAATTTGATTTATCATATAGATACCCAGAACTGAGCTAAACAGCTCCAGTGGGCTGGGCGCCAGGAACCCCCCCCCCCCATACAGTATAATCCTAGCTACACATGAAGCTGAGATCTGAGGATCACAGTTCAGAGCCAGTCTGGGCAGGAAAGGCCATAAGACTCTTATCTCCAATTAGCCACCAAAACAAACAAACAAAATAACTGGAAGAGGAGTTATGGCTCACATAGTAGAGTGTTAGCCTTAGGCAAAAAAAAAGCTCAAGGATAGCGCCCAGGGAAGTGGTGCTGTGCTCAAGTGGTAGAGCGCTCACCTTTAGCTGAAGAGCACAGGGACAGTACCCAAGCCCCGAGTTCAAGTCCCAGGCCCAGCGCGTGCGTGCATGTGTGTGTGTGCGCGCGCGCGCGCACGTGTGCGTGCACGCACACACACACACACACACACACACACACCTCCCAATGGATAAGATTACAATTTGAACAAGAAAATAAAGTAGCATTAAATTATAACCCAAAGTATAAAATAAATATCCATGAATATGGATTATTTAAAATATAACAATTAAATTAAGTAGGAGAAAATAGTCAAATGTCCCATAGAGAAGGACTTCAATAGTCTACTTAGATACCCCTTCCTTGAGGAAATGGAGCATAACTCCCCTCTCTCTAAATGTGGGCTGCACATAGTGACGTCCTTCCAAAGAATACAGTAGAGAGAGGGGAAAGAAGGAAAACTTCAGAATGGAGAAACTGACGAACACTTGGGACAGATCATTACAGGTCATGCTAACAGTGACAATCCTGTAGACAGAATGCATCGTAGTGTGCTGTGATGAGAATGACATCTATAGTCTTCCTCTTTAGACTGAAAACCTCAGTCTAATCATGAAAAAGTATCAGGCAGGTCCAAGTTGTGTTACTTTCTACAAAACACCTGACCAGCAATCTTCAAGACCCCTCAAGGTCAGGTGAAACAGAAAGAGGACTAAGGAGACAAAGATGACTAAATTGAATGTGATATCCTACAGGAGAATGATGGAAGGGTTTGTGAAACTGATCAAGATGTATTGTATACATAAATGGACATGTTAAATCCAAACCCCTTTGTACAACTATTTGAAGATAATAATAAAAAGAGGAAAAAAATAATAAATTTGAACCCGAACTAGTATCAGGCTACCTGAATTAATACATCAATTGTAACAAATATTTCATACTTATATAAGATGCTGTATTAATAATAGGGAAGGTAGATTTATGAGACTTCCCTATACTATCTCTGCAGCTTTCTTTTAGTCTGAAATGATTCCAAAATTTAGCAGGTTATTTTTTAAAATATAGCTAGATATACTACTTCATGGAATCTGAAAACTTCTATATCTCTGGTACATGATAAAGCTAAAGCCATAACAGTTTTGAAAATGTATCCCAATTTGCTTTTACTTGAAAGGGCTATTTTGTTTTCTTCCATTTGTCTACTTGGGTGTGGAATTTTCCATCTGATTATTTTTAAATTTAAAGCTTGTCACTAATGGAGTGATTAAATATTTGAAAAATGGAAGGGAAAAACTGTTGCAGAAAAAGGCCAGTAAAAGGCTGTTCTAGGGTGGATGCAGCAGCCACTGCTGTTCAGGACAGAGGCTAGGGGGTCGCAGTGTGGCACAGGGTCTTGCCTGGGAGAAAATGTAAGAAAAAAATGCAAAGCTGCTCCCTTTTACATCAGTACTTCTCCTGAGGAGTTAATGTGCATGCATACATACAAAATAAATCAGAATTAATAAGTTTCTGTTACTTTCCACTCAGAAGTTCTCTCTAGTGTCTGATTTTACTGACTAGATAGGACCTCAAGGAAGAGCTAAACCCATGTCTCTCTGTCTAAGGATTCTGTGGTGACTTTTCCTTTCTCTAAAAAACAAAACAAAACATTATACTGAAAATATGACAGTTATTTCATGGTGTTTTAATTTTCCAAGATGAGGAGTATTTCCTTCTGACAGGAGGAAAATCCTAAATAGTAAAATTTCAGATAGGAACTCTATCTTTTCATATTTTGGTCATTTCCAAGGAAAAGATGAAACTGATCCTCACCACTGTGTTATTTCAAGAGGAGAAATATTCATCTCAAGCCCATTACCACATCAATAAAGAGTACTTGGGGGGCTGGGAAGGTGGCTCAGTGGTAGAGCACTTGCCTTGCATGCCTGAGGCCCTGGGTTCCATTCCTCAGCACCACATAAGCAAAAAGAAAAAAGCCGGAAGTGGTGCTGTGGCTCAAGTGGTAGAGCGCTAGCCTTGAGCTGAAGAGCTGAGGGACAGTGCCCAGGCCCAGCGTTCAGGCCCCACGACTGGACCCAAAAAAATAAAAAAATAAAAAAAATAAAGAGTACTTGGGAATACTCTGACTCAGGAGTCTATATTCTCTGCTTATATTCTTTCCAAAGAATTGTAGAAAATAGATGTAGCCTCTTATATATTTTATTCATTCATATTCTAATTTTTCATAATTTGAAAAGCTGCAAAGAACATAATTTGAATATGTGGACATCAACATGGCCACTGAAATCTGCCTTCAGGAATAGGTTTCAACCATTAATTTTCTACTTCTCCCTGAGAGTTTTATCCTATAGTATACAGGTGAATGTTGGAGACTCATTAGTTATTAACCTTAAAATAGGATGTAGCTCAGTGGTAAAGGGCATGCTTAGTGTTCATAAGGCACGGTGTTCCATCTACAACATCAAAAACAACAACAACAAAGCTCAGTGATACCTCATAACTACAAATATATATGTATTCATTGAAACTGAAATTTCGTCTTCAACTGGATTGATTATACTTATAATTATTAATTAGGACACAACTGATACTAAAGATAACATGAGTAATTATTAAATATAGTATGCTCAATTTTATTGGAAGAACAACTGCTTTACTGGACAACATTTCAAAACTTCTGTCATTGTAGTGGTCTAGAAACCTCCACGATATAAACTCCAGACAATATAAAACATCAGCCATTATCAAAATGTGATCTAGAGATGCCTTAGGATTCCAACATCCTCTTAGTTCTCAAAATGAAAACACTTTTCATAATACTAAGTTGTTATTTCTCCTTTCTAGTCTCCATATCTTAAGACATAATGGAATGTACCAGAAAAATTTCCAGAAGTTATATGATTAGCCAACAGTATATGTGCTTATGTATTAGTGTGTTCTAAAAGATTTTCTTTTAAGGGCATGGGTGTAGTTCAGTGGTATAGCATTTGCCTAGCAAGCTTAAGGCTTTCAATTCAACTCCTGGCACTAGACAAAACAAACAAACAAAAAAACTCACTTTTTCCATACAAAAACATTTAGTTCATAACAATTTTTAACACTATAAAGGGATCCTGAGACTAAAGCCTTTGAGAGCTGATATGCTATGGTGTTTCCAAGGGGGAAAGAAAAGTACTCTTTTTGTAAAGAGAGGGAGAGGTGAGAGGGAAAAGGGTGGCAAAAGACTTAGCATAGTATTGGTCAGGTGTCGATTTTACAATAGAAGATACATGGAGAAAATACACAGAGGATGAGGATCAACATACTGACCTTCTCAGCTACTGTGTGGGATTGTGATCTGATGGGCTCCATGACATTGACTCTCTAACCTAGTGCGGGATCACAGTCTGCTGGCCTCTATGAGACTGACCCTCTAAGCTGCAGTGTGGACTCATGGTCTGCTGGTCTCCATGTCAAAGTCAGGCCTCTGACACTTGCTTTTACACACTGGAATATAACTTCCAAGCTTTAAGTTTCTGAGTTCCCATAAGACAT